TTTTTGACCATGGTATATATTTCTGATATTATGTTCATTTCATGTTCAAAGTTAACCATCAAATACCATGGTATTATCTCCTTGCCATCATTTGTTGGCACCATGTTTGATGGCATTTCATTGTAAGATGTGACAATCAAATACCATGGTATTTCAATGCCATGTCTCTGACCATCATTTACCATGGTATTTATTACCATGGTATATCATGGTTGATGGCATTTCATTATAAGATGTGACAATCAAATACCATGTTTGTACCATGGTATTTCAATGCCATGTTCCTGACCATCATTTTCCATGGTATTATCATTGTATATCATGGTTGATGGCATTTCATTATAAGATGTGACAATCAAATACCATGTTTGTACCATGATATTTCATTGCTATGTCCCTGACCATCATTTACCATGGCATTACCATGGTATATCATGGTTTATGACATTTCATGGCATTTCATTGAACGGTGTGACAATCAATTACCATGTCATTTCATTGGCAAAATCATAACTGGTTTTATCATTGCAATTCATGGTGGGTGGTATTTCCTGGCATTTTATTGTCAAACCTGACCATCAAATACCATGGTCATACCATGGTATTTCATTGCCATAATCATAACTATCATTTATTATTGCATTTCGTGGTTGATTGTATTTCATGGCATTTTATTGTCAAACCTGACCATCAAATACCAGGGTCATACCATGGTATTTCATTGCCATAATCATAACTATAATTTATTATTGCATTTTGTGGTTGATTGTATTTCATGGCATTTTATTGTCAAACCTGACCATCAAATACCATGGTCATACCATTGTATTTCATTGCCATAATCATAACTATCATTTATTATTGCATTTCGTGGTCGATTGTATTTCATGGCATTTTATTGTCAAACCTGACCATCAAATACCAGGGTCATACCATGGTATTTCATTGCCATAATCATAACTATCATTTATTATTGCATTTCATGGTTGATTGTATTTCATGGCATTTTATTGTCAAACCTGACCATCAAATACCAGGGTCATACCATGGTATTTCATTGCCATAATCATAACTATCATTTATTATTGCATTTCGTTGTTGATTGTATTTCCTGGCATTTTATTGTCAAACCTGACCATCAAATACCATGGTCATACCATGGTATTTCATTGCCATAATCATAACTATCATTTATTATTGCATTTCGTGGTTGATTGTATTTCATGGCATTTTATTGTCAAACCTGACCATCAAATACCATGGTCATACCATGGTATTTCATTGCCATAATCATAACTATCATTTATTATTGCATTTCGTGGTTGATTGTATTTCATGGCATTTTATTGTCAAACCTGACCATCAAATACCATGGTCATACCATGGTATTTCATTGCCATAATCATAACTATCATTTATTATTGCATTTCGTGGTTGATTGTTCTTCATGGCATTTTATTGTCAAACCTGACCATCAAATACCATGGTCATACCATGGTATTTCATTGCCATAATCATAACTATCATTTATCATGGTTTTATTATTCCATTTCGTGGTTGATTGTGTTTCATGGTATTTTATTCTCAAACCTGACCATCAAATACCAGGGTCATACCATGGTATTTCATTGCCATAATCATAAATATCATTTATTATTGCATTTCGTGGTTGATTGTATTTCATGGCATTTTATTGTCAAACCTGACCATCAAATACCAGGGTCATACCATGGTATTTCATTGCCATAATCATAACTATAATTTATTATTGCATTTCGTGGTTGATTGTATTTCATGGCATTTTATTGTCAAACCTGACCATCAAATACCATGATCATACCATGGTATTTCATTGCCATAATCATAACTATAATTTATTATTGCATTTCGTGGTTGATTATATTTCATAGCATTTCATTGTTAAACCTGACTATCAAATACCATGGTCATACCATGGTATTTTATTGCCAAAAGAACTTTAGAAGAGTGTCAAGTCTAAAATTGGTCAGAGTTGAAATGGATCATGAAATGCAACGAAATACCACGTTTCACCATGAAATGCAATGAAATACAATGATTGATCATGATATGCAATGAAATGCAAATGTCTTTCTTGCAGTGCAGTGAAATACAATGAAAAACCATGTGCAAAAAATATTTTTACATGAAATATCTTTATTAATAAATGTTAAGTAGATAACCAAATCATCATAATTAGTGATTCTGATATTCATCAAAATTCAATGAAAAACTCGATATGTTAAAAACGCCCTGTTAACCAAATGCAATGGTGCCATTTAATGATCATGATTGGCCATGGTATTACCATGGTATTTCATTGTATTTCATGGCCATATACCATGGTCATACCGTGGTTTACAGTGGTATGACCATGGTCCATTTCAACATGGAATGGTTTCCCAGCAGGAGGATTGGCAGCCAGAATGCAACACCAATATTTTAAAAACAAAGCTAGCATCATTGTTGTCTGACTTTATCTGGCTATAAATTCACAATCAGCTATCAAAAGATTTAAATTAATATCTCGATCACTTCTTGTGTTTTTAAATTTTTTTGTTGAGGAGTAAGACCAAATGTCTCGAAGATTGAGAAATGGCGACTGTTTAAATTATGAATTTTGTACACGGCAATGATGCCCACATAAATGGCAGAATTATTTTGATATACAATATAACACATAGTCACACTTACTCAGTCATTTCTGATCATTAGCTCACAGTCTCAAACTCTGGTATCACATCAAACGAATCATGTATTACCATGTAAGCATCCCCATATGACATCACCCAATTTTTGCATGATCAATATCTTGTTAATGGTAAAAGCACTTTAAAGAAGGTATCGATATGGCGAACTTTTTGAACACACGTTTCTCTTAAACCAGTCATCAAAAATTTCTGAAAATCTTACAAATTGTCAATTTAATGGCCATCTTTTGAATGGTAACAATATAATTTGAAATAGATAAACATACTTTCATCTACATGTATATTGTTTTAAAAAACACATCAAACACTTGTTTTGTTCTTGGTATCATGTTTCCAGAGTGAAATGAAACATCTTTCCGAACCTCATTGGAACAAAACGACATAAACACAACATGTTTAGGTCTCTCAATATTGTAATTGTATAAAGGAAATTTTGGTTGATTTTAAAAAAGTATCTTGTTAATGAAATAAAAGGTTTTTCTTAATTTTTATCTATTTTGGGGGGATTTGTTTTAATTTTTTGAATACTTTTTTAAAATCAACCCAAAATTGCTTTGTATAACTTTAATATTGAGAGGTCTAAAAACATGTTGTATATGCTATTTTGTTCCAACAAGGTTCGGAAAGACATTTTATTTCATTCTCAAGAATTGGTAGAAAGGAGCAAAAACAATTGCACTAAAAAAACAAAAAATGTTAACAAAAACAGTTATTTAAAATATTTCTAAATAATTTTCACATTAAATTGTTGTCAATCAGTCAACATTACATAAAATACCATGTTTTTTACAGAATGTTTTCAATGATTGGTTTAAGCAGTTCTCCATATCGATACTTATCCTTAATAACAAGATATTCACGTTAACATTTTAATGTGTTTGATAATTTATGAGAGTCTATTATAGCACAGATGTATGTAAACATGGTTGATAAGGGTCATTCTCTCAATTATTTCTATTTGCCCTGGTGGATTGATACTATTACTATGGCAACCATTACTTATTCAATACGACTGTGATACTAAATCTTTTTAGCTGGATTAAAGAGACATTCTGCATTAGAATGTATTGGAAAATAAATAAATCAGAGAGATATTATGAGAACTTTCTGATCACCCCTCGTATATAACTGATTTTTACTTACACACTTGAAATGGATATTCAGCTTTCATTCTATGTAAAAAGAACAGAAATGATAAAACATTAGTGAAGTGGAAGCGGTTAAGGGTTACAATGACCCCTACTATCAGCAATTTTCAATGTTTTCTAAGCCCTAGATATTATTTATATACATCCTTTAAAAAATGTGAAATTTTACATGCCACAGGGCCTTAATATACTGTGATGCTCATTTTAAAGGCACAATGTAAATTTTGAAAACAGTCTTATCTTTTAAATATAATTGCTTTTAATAACTTAAAAAACTATTCAAAACATTTTTTTGAAAAATGTAAATTCTGAAAAAAGTTTACTCTATTGACTACATCAGGCAAAAGTTATATATTACTTCAACAATTTAATCTTTGATTTTATGCATATATGATTAAAATTTGGGATGTCACGACAATACTTGGTGATGTCACTAAGGTGCCAATATATTTTTTCAAAAATTACCAATTTTTTCCTTTACAAATATTTTCTATGTACAATGTACATTAAAAATCAAAGCAATATTGTTGGCCTAGTATCTTGGTTCAAAATAGGTTTTTGTCATGCTTAAAATTTGATAAAATAAATTTGTACCGGCGTTGGAGTTTATGAGAACTAAAATGTTAAAGTGCTTTTTTCTCTGAACCACTTTTCTGCACTTATAAGTTAATTTCTTGCTTATGTTTCAAGCAATTTTCTTACTTTTTCAACTTTCGTGGTGTACAACTTTGTGAAAACTTAACTTTTATTTGAAATAAATTCACAATTTCTCGAACAAAAAGTCCTTCAAATCCAGCTTCAAACTCAATTTTAACCTTTTGAAATCAAATCTAAAAGTTTTCACATTCCACATTTTGATAATGGTTGGACAGTTTATATAGGATTTTCAAGGGACCCCCCCCCCCCCCCCCCCCCCATGGAACATAGCCTACCTCAATGGATAAGCTTATAAACAATGCATATCGCCCGAGACATGTCGTTTCCTCGTTTATATTATTAAAAAGCAAAGAAAAGAGGCATTTTATTTGTTTTCTTTCAGTAGACTCAAATAGAATTTAGTAGATATTCGAATTGCTTTCAATTATAGATGTCACCTCAATCAAATTTCGCACCTGCTATTGATATGCAAATGAGCTGTTGCCATGCTGAGTGGGGAAGCGGTATCGAGGAAGTGAACGGTGTATACCAAAACACAGGTGTGCTAATTAGGAAACTCGGGTTTTCGCCGATTTTATCATCTTGTGGTGTCTCAAAGACAACTAAAAAGATGTTAGCTAGTCAGCGCCAGCCGGAGCAGTTGTCGTCTGCGCTGAAGAACACATCTGGGCACATAAAGAACGACATTCGCGAAGTTTTGGGGACAGGCAATTATTACGTGACCCCTCAGCTGGGTCATCAAATCGCCTCGGTAGACAGTGCTATAAATCATCTACGCCTTGACGACAATTTGATGAGTAAAGAATGGGGTAACAAGTTTGACCCTAATGCAACAGCCTACCAAAAATCAGGTAAGACAACATATGACAATGTAAAACTTGAAGTGGAACTCTCATTTATTAGACCAAGGGAAAGGACTATTGAGCTCAATATAGAAGACCTCTCCATTGAGCAAGACAGTACTTTTCCCTAGACTATATTCTCTAGTCTGATATTTTTGAAATTTGGTTGGAATACATACTTTTCCCTTGGCCTTAGGAGCTCTACAAGATACCCACTGTCAAAAAAGGGCATTTATACAGTATAGTCAAAAGAGTATATGCGGAGGAAGGGTGTCCACCAGAGACAGGTGTTCACTAGAGAGAGGTGTTCACTAAGCTTGTACCTGGTATTCGCGAATGCAACTAACTCCTGTCATCTACTGGATTAACCCACTACTTCATGACCAACTCATAAAATATGAATAGTACCTGCCACTATTCCATTCATATTTAAATGATTTAGTCATAAAATACTAGGTTGATCCGGTAGCCAACAGGCGTTAGTTGCATTTGCGAATACAAGGTAAGACAGGTTTAACTGTACGTAAATGATTTTGAAAAGTCTCAAAGAATACCGATGTAAATTAGTATGGTTCAAAAACAGCATCTTTGTCAAAGTCTTTATCCTCAATGTCACCATATCACACACTGCCGATTCGCATTGTAATGTCAAAGAACAGCAATATATTGATAAGTGGTTAATCTTTCCAGCTGCTATTGGTGGTATCAACAATGCAGGTGAAGCCCTGCAGCAGTACAAACAGCAGTTCAATAATGTCAACATGACCAAACTGCAGGAGAATCAGATCAGAGAAAATCACGAGAAGTCAATGCGAGACTTTGATGGTGTCAAACAGGTACATTCATACCCTGAATCAATATTGGCCAGCCACATCACCCTCTGAGTAGAACAGTTGATTTCAAAGATTTAATGCTGATCCTTATGATCTCAGTACTCTCTCAATGATCTCGCTGTACCTTCCAAGGTTTTCTATGGAAATTTTAATGCAAAATAGGTGTTACCTCAAAACACTACTAGGATATATAGCATCTGTAATTTCCTGTAAATAATATTCATTTTTTGACAATATGGAAATGTTTTTGATTTGTTACAGAAAGAAGCCAGTTTTATATACAGTATATTTAAAATTGAAAATAATTTCCAATTTATTAATTTGTTCTTGAATTTCCAGAATCTGTTCCCACAAGCTCAAGCTGCACATGACAGAATTAAACAATTTTGTGACCACATCGGCGTAACAGATCGTTACACAGGCTACAGGCATAACCTGACAAGGGGCAGCAGAGACCCTGTTAAGCTTGGCTTTGCTTGGGTTGACCCAAAGAAGAACACATATAATGCTACATTGAATACAGGCTGGAATGCAAGAAGTAATAGAAATGTCAGCTTTGGTCCTAGGCCAACTGAAGATACAGGTATGTGTTTCATACTTTTTATGTTCAATTTAATTTGCATCATGCCCCCTGTGTATCCCCCATTCCCCAATTCTCCCATTCCCCAATTCCCCCATTCCCCAATTCTCCCATTCCCCTATTCTCCCATTCCCCAATTCTCCCATTCCCCTATTCCCCCATTCCCCCATTCTCAGGGTTTGAAAATGCTTAGGACATCTAAGGAGTGAACTAGACATGTTTTAATGTCATTTTTGTGATTTGATGTACTTTAGTGAGATTTTTAACTATTTTTCTTCAAATCATAGTAGCATCATAGTGTTAGTGAGTAAGTGAGTTAGTTAGTGAGCCAGTTAGTGAATAACGTCAGTAAGCCCTTCAGTAAAAAGCTAGACAATACTGTACAATTGTTTTACATAATATATTGGAAGGAAAACTAATCATTCAACTGATATAAACATGGTTATTTTTTCATGGTTTTATAACACTATTATTGAGTGCTAAAATGTTGACTCTAGTAAACAAATATAAAATGAATCTATACACATTTGTAGCATTTGAATCCTACAAAGGCCCATCGTCATGGCAACAGCATCAGGGCAGTGCCCCAGGGGGGCTTCATATGAGTGCCCCAGGAGGAATGCAGAGGGCTCATACAGACCCTGGATTTAGACTCTCAGGAAACACACAAGCCAAGATGGCTTCTTCGCGCGTTCAGAAAAGTATGTCATTTTGAGAAAATTAATTAAACTATATAGTAAATTTTTATTATTATTAAAGGCATTGATTTTACTAGTAAATATCGTTATTTATAATATTGAATCAGCAAAAATTTTAAAATCACTGACAGGTTACTTTCAAGATTTTTATCCCAATGGCGATGATTATTCTTGTGAATGTGAAAATAGTGAAACCTGTAAAGTGGAACACCTCTGTAAGTGGAACACTTTTCAGAGTCCCATGACTTAATGATAATTGAACCTCTATGAATGGAACACCTTCCAAGTGGAACACTCTCAGTTGTTCTAAAGGTGTCTCACTTACACAAGTTTTACTGTGTAATATTTAAGCATTGAGCATATTTTTATTGGCCAGTTATTTTTCCACACTTTCAAACCCTATTACTTTATATGGCTACATGAACAAGGAGCTTGAGTTTACATGTAAGCTATTCCTTTTTTCAAAGATGGAGAAATAAAATGTATTTGAATTATTTTGATCTTTCAAATTACTTATGCCAATGAAAACAAGCCAGAGCTTGAGTATACCGGTATATAATTGCTGTGTTAAAAGTAAAATCAAATGTGTTTAATTTACTTTACTCACTTTCAGACCCTCTTGCTAATGGCTGTGATACTCGGGGGCTTGGGCCTGCTGTTTGGAGTGTCCAAGAACAAGCAGGTATCAATACAACCTTCCCAGGGAGAACTGAGTACATGAAACGCTATGTAGCTCCCCCAACAGATATACCCACAAGGGACTATATTGTCAATCCTGTCGGGGACTTTAAAACACATGGAAGACCACTGATGAAAACATACTTTTCACCAGACTCCACCGAGTACCAAACACGATACGAGTGGCCAGATTCAAAAAAGATTGTAAAGCTACCATGGCTTAGAAAATAAAGCGTTGTCGATAGATACATATTGATGATTTCGAAATTGTTGAGGGGGACTTTTCCCTGGGTAACCTTATCGCCATGGTAACTTTAATTTATTCTGGAAGTTTTGACATGTAAGAACTGCTGCATTTGCCCATGTTGCTACAGTCATATTTTTGTTACTATCCCTAAAAGCTCCTATCCATAAAAAATGTTTACCATAATTGTGAATATGTACCATAAAAAAATGTGTACTATAATTATGATTGATCTCTTTTCACAGGATAATTTATTGCTCAAGAAGTACCAGACTTTCAAAGGAGGTACTTCTGACCCAAAATTCTTCATACACAGAAAGTATTCCAGTATTCCAATAGTGCCACAAGCCTATATAGCAAATTAATGATATACTAATGATATCTGAAATATTGAGTTCTACATCAACAATTCAGAATTTAGGAAAAACCCATGTGTCATTGAAAAATGTGTGTCTTTGATGACTTGAAAGAAGTGAATATGATAACAAATTTTACTCACTTTCATGTTAAAAATGTGTGCCATTGTTTTTGTATGTATGTTTCATTTATATATTATTTACAATGTATGTACTTATAAATATTTTCTTAAATGTAAATATAAAATATTTGGTATTTTTATATAAAAAAATGATTTATCATGATTTCCACAAATTTAAAGTGCTTTTTTCAAATATTATATATTGTTTGAAAGTAATTTTGATATTAAAAATTATTTTTAAAGAATTGAATTGTATACTATTTAGCCGCAATAGCCTTAGAAAAGTATTACTTATAATTTATATTTTCAACACAATTGAAACATGCTTGTGTCACATCAATTTTATGTACAATTATTGTATTATATAAATATAAGGTTTGAAATAAATCTAAAAAAAAATTACAATTATTAGTCTGTATGGTTACATTCCTCATGTAGGTGATACTCTGGGGTTAAATGATTTTACCAGATGGGCTTATAGGTGAAATAACTTCATATAATTAAGAAGGCCATGGTCTTATAGGTGACTCAAATTTTTTTAATTTATCAACATTTCTAAATGATTGACATGTATTTGCCCCGCAACAATACCATTGGCTTATAGGAGACCTAAAACCCAGTTTCCAGAACCCATGGTCATACTGTCATACTTCATATATTTTGACTCATGATGATAGCCACATGGCCCCCAAATAATGCCAGTTTAATTTTGATACTCATCCAGCTGACTCGTCATATCTTATCTGTTTCTTTTGCAACATGCTCTGATACCAGGTGTTTTATCATCATGATAAACCATGACATCTCATTTCTTCTCAGCCCTGAGATGCCATGATATAATGAGCTTGATTTGGCGATCCAGGAGAGCCCAAAATTAAGAATTTTTGAGATCTTTCATCCCAGTTCATATTTCATCTAATTGGGGTCATAAACTTGTGTACCTGTGCCTGTTCTAATATCTGTTGTTAAATACAATGCCGATTATGTAATATATTGACATTAAGGTAAATGATTACATGATATCTATCACACTTATTGACAGTTATAACTCTTCCCATCTGATGTGCTCAGATCACTGAATATGCCTCATAATATCAGAGCATGTTTCAGGTGAAACAGAAAGATGCTATGAGTATCAGAATGGTGTTTTATGGCAAATGAAATAGGAGTGGAGTGGAAATGGAAGACCTAACAAGGCATTAACATGCAAAATGTTACTATCTGCCATTTGCTACAGACACTGAATGCTATTACAGACACTGATCACCTCAGCCACTGCCAAACACCAGCCACAAAAAATGTTGGAGACTATAATAACACATCCTCCAATCACAGGGCTTCAAAATCCAGAATATATTCTTTCTTTTTACCCCCTGCGACAAGCAGTTAGCAGTTCCCCGATTAAGAACTCGCAATCTGATTGGCTGTCGCAACACTGCGACAGAAATCATGTATAAGTCATTGCGCATAATTAGATCACGTGATTCGGTTTAATCGGGCGCTTCCAAATTGGTTATAGCAGGGGGAAGAAAGAGGTACAGATTCTGGACACCTGCTTAGGAGGATGATAATAACAATAAAAATGTGAATCAGGCTATCCTGAAATTGTATTATATTGTATTATAAATTAGATAAACATTACTTCTCTGCAAGATCTTTACTCATGGTTTCATTAATTTAGCTTGAATTCCAAATCCAATTTAGAATGTCACCGCACTGCTTGACCAAGAAAATATGATTCTATTAGATTTTCCCAACCTCCTCCAAAGCTGAAACCTAATCAGATCTAACTTTTCATTCCAAGAAACATACTTGAAAATGATAAATCAATTGGTCTAGAATTTGTCTAGTAATACACAGATGTCTAGAACTTGTCTGGAAATACACGGATGGCTAGAATTTGTCTGAAAATACACAGATGTCTAGAATTTGTCTTGAAATACACAGATGTCTAGAATTTGTCTGGAAATACACAGATAACCATCACCTGTCATATGGAAACATTATATTATCATAGTCAATCTATTTCAGGAAAGATGAAAATACTCTTTTTCCAGTCAAGTACTTTTTGCAATAAAAACAAAATATATGTTTTCTGATTAAATAATTTATTGTATGTATATTTCATATAGAAATTCACAGTGCTTTGAGATTCATAAAATAATATTTTATTTCTTGGATATATGCCTCGGCAATCAGAAGTGCTTAGAATCATTAACAATGCATTCCTATTTTGTGATTAAAGTAAATAATACGATTGATTCCCTTCTAACCTGCCTGAGTCTATTTTTGAAGGTTTGAGATTTGAGCAATTATGCTTTTAATAATTATGCATCCCATGGCAAGACACTATAATTCTTATGCTGTTTGTAAAATATTTCATACATATATAATTATTATAAAATAATATAAGTAATCTCATTATTAATTTGTTAATAAAGCTTTGGTTAACATTTTCGTCATAAAATCTAACATATTTAACATGGCAAAGCATATAAATAAATTGTAACAGGTTTTCTGTTTCAATTACAAAACTGTTTGTTGTAACCTTGTGGTTGTATGTTGTTGGATTGTGTTTAATTAATTCAAAAAATAACTCAAAACAAATATAGCAATGGTCACTGCAAAAGACTCGAGTTTGAGTACAAGACTCGAGTTTGAGTACAAGACTCGAGTTTGAGTACAAGACTCGAGTTTGAGTACAAGACTCGAGTTTGAGTACAAGACTCGAGTTTGAGTACAAGACTCAAGTTTGAGTACAAGACTCAAGTTTGAGTACAAGACTCAAGTGTGAGTACAAAAGTCAAGTTTGAGTACAAGACTCAAGTGTGAATACAAGACTCAAGTTTGCGTACAAGACTCAAGTTTGAGTACAAGACTCAAGTTTGAGTACAAGACTCAAGTTTGAGTACAAGACAGAACATATACACATAACAAGCATCAACCTTCATTTACATTTTAGGGGCAGGGGCACTCAAGATTACTTTTACAAAATGTAGTGATTCATGATTCCTTGTCCATGGTGCTTTAAGACAACTGAAATTCAGCAACTTAGATCTATAATCTATTCGAGAAACAACCCCTTGAAAAATGTACCATTGGGTTCGGTCCATTGGCTTCAGGTGTACAGTGAAACCAGTCTAAAGTGAACTCCATAATCCCTATTATATTGAGGCCTCAAAAGTGGTCAGTCAGCCAATCATGGAAGTCAGTTTTTCACATTTAATGTGTCCATATTTGACAAGTATTTACATAGACAAGTTCCACTGTTCCCCTTATTATGCAACATAAATATTATAAACATACAGTCCTACAGTTCAAGTTCACACTTTATACTTGTAAATAATTGTACAGAATCTAAAATAAACATAGTGTTTCAAAAACATAGTGTTACAAAAAATATAAATCTAACTACATTGTGACTTGTGGGATTACATGAATTTTCCATAATGCGAAAACCGCTAACTTAGAATATATAGATGCCTGTTATCTGATTGGTTCACAGAAAATCGTTATTTTACACCAATCAAATCACAGATATCTATGAGTTATATTCTAAAAGTTTACGTTTATGAAATCTCCATTGATAAATACTGCTTGGTGATTGGACGGTATTGTTATTATATAATTGGAAATGATTATACAAATATATGCTATACCAGTATGTACATCTCACTTTGGTTGTTTTAAAGCTTAGTATAAATATTTGGCTCGGAAAATTGTAAAATATTTTTTGGTATGTAATAGGATAATAAAAATAAGCATTTTATATAAAATAAAGAAAACAGTTATTCCAAACTCAATTATGCTAAATATGAAATGGTGATCAATTGTTGGGATTTCTCCATATTTCATTCATTTAAATTTTAATCTCATCACGCGTAGATAGTCCCCTGGCTTCAAATGTGACCCAACTGGCATAAATAAGGAAATGTTCATCCATGAGAAAACTCATCACATCATTTATTTTGTATCGCACAGCAGTGCAACACCTCGCAAGATCCAATGATCTGGATCCTTATTGGTCCTCAGAGACAATGGGAAAATATACGTCAAGTCCGTTCGTTTTGGTTTCTTATAAACTGGACACCTGTATAGATTTGTGGCCTTTGTATTTTCCTGGTTCACTGCATAGATGTGTACAACAGGGAGAGGGGTGTACAGAACCTTAGGGGATGGCTCCATAAGGCGACAGTTACGACGATCCCAACCTGCACCATCCAACATCAGACCATGTACATATACACCTGGAACAGTTAAATATTGGTCTTATTTGAATGATATAATAAACCTGTGTAAGTGAACACATATGGAGCCACAAATGTGTTCACTATAGGTAGGTGTTCACTACAGATTAAGAAAGGCAATTTTATACAGAACACAATTGAGTATATGCTGAGAAGAAGTATTCATTTGACACAGGTTTTCACTAAAGAGATGTGTTCACTAAGACAGGTTTTACTGTAGTTACAATTATTAGCCCGTCCTGTTAGCTCAGCTGGAAGAGCATATTCACTTGGTGCATGAGGTCCCAGGTACAATTCCTGGCTACATTACTTTTAGATACTTTATTGGATGCATACACAGGTAAAGAATAGTGAATAAAAAAGTTAAGCTCTTGCAAAGGGAACAGGATTCTACACCGAGGTTGAAAACATGGTTGCAAACTTACAAGCCTGGCAATCAATGACATTGCCATTTTAGCAACCAGTCTAAAGTAATCATGATTGCCATTTGCAATAAGGCAACAATGAATTTTTTAATGCTGAATAGACACGTCTACGATGATTGATTATTCCATTTATTATTATGGGAACACTTGCAACAGGTTGATTTATGACATGTTCCATACCTTCAGATGGTGCGTTGTTGATGTCTTCCTTCATGTACTTAGTGACATCATTAGCCAATATGACGGAGTCTAAGGCCCAACCTTTATGTGCTCTAGTGATCTCTTGCCTAAAATTAAAAATGTATTTATATTAAACCATAAGACCATGTTGATTGAAATATTAGAGTGCAAAATGTCACTTCCTGCCATTTATTACAGATGCCAACCGCTGAACATCAGCCTCCAAATCCAACCACAGAATGGCATCCACAAAAAATGTTGGAGACTATGACAATATGTCACCACTTGTGGCGGTGACATTAAAAAATGAAGATTCAATATTCAAAATGTTGCTATAAATTAATATTTATGCTTTAAGCAAGAAAAGTGCAAAGATCGCTTTTTACCTCATAGCAGTTAAGAAGCCTTGTGGGTTGAAGAAACCAGTCATCCAGAACATAGTGGGTCTGCCATCAAATACCCAAGTACTGAACTGTGTGTTCCTCTCTAAAAGGTCTGTAAACCAGAACCCTAATGTAGCAGATTCCCAGGATATCTGTAAATAGATAAAGCAAAGTTTATTAGTACATGAACCTGTACCATAAAAGTACTTAATTGACGATATCAAAGTTTCTCGACTCATGATTGTTTTTGATATAGCTGTGCATGATATTATATATTATTTTGTACATTGCATGATATTTTCATCATACTCACTATAATGTTGTTTTCAAAAATGGCCATGAATGGCAAAATTACAATAAATCTTGTAACTACTATCGGGTACAATAAACCTTGTGTCAACCCTGTTACCATATTGATGTACTACTTGTTTTATATTGTACACATTTGAGTAAATTATTTTTCTCACCTTTTTCCATGTGTTTGGAATCCTAGCATCATACATATTATCCAAAGCATCTTTCAAATCCTCATTCATAATGATAGTGCCATCAATAGCGAGTTTCAGGTCATTAAGTGTGTTGCGTACATTTTTTATAACACGCTGCATTCTGTCTATCTCCTGCTTCAAAAAGATGTTCAATGGCTGTAGGTGACCCATCTTTCTTAGACGCTCTTTCACCTGGAACAATATGATTAAACAGAAATGTTTTAACTGGACCAGTTTAGTGCTGAGAGGTGTTCACAGAGAAAGGGGTTTACATAAAAAGAAAAAAATAGTCAAATTTAGATCTGTTCACATTGAGATGTGGTGCTGTAAGAACTGTCACATTGGGAGTTGTCAATGTTGAGAGGTCATATTGAGAGATGTTATTTAGAGGTGTAGAGGTGTTCACATTTAGAGGTGTCCACATGGAGAGGGGTTCCCATATAAGAACTGTTCAGATTTAAAGGTGTTCACATTGAGAGTTGTCAATGTTTAGAGGTCATATTGAGAGGTGTCAATGTTAAGAGGTGTTCTCAATGAGAAGTGTTCACATTGAGAAGAATTCACATAAAAATAGGTTACCATTCAGAGGTCTAATAACAATGCGAGTCTTTGGAAAACTAAAAAGTGAGAATTGATAGGAAAATGTGACAATTTTAAGCATGACTGAACAAAATAGGTTGACATACCTCAAACGGAACATAATCAGCAGGTAGTTTCTCCAACATATCATCAGCCAGTCTGTATACAACAGCCTCTCTGGTCTCACCTCCACCGCCACCTGAGTCCTTGGGCTGGATACTCACAATCGTATCTAACATAGTGGTCGCTGTATTAGTCTGGTATCTGTAAAAATGATGAATCAAAACGTGAATAACTTTAATTAATTAATTGAATGGTTTAAATCATATCAGCTTATTCTGTAATAATCTAATAGTAGCTAACCTATGCCTCATCCTTTTTATTATAACATATATTTTTTATGTAAATCCTTTCATTTTTGATATTTTGATTGTTTTCTATCTCAAAACTAATTCTTCACAGAAGAAGTATAAAGCTATTTGTAAGACTTTAAAAAGAATTCCAAAGTACAACTTAACAAGATACAGAAAACAAATGAAACATTTCACAAGGTAACAAAGAAAATAGATGTACTACATACGTGATATCAGCATTAGGATGCAGTCCGAAGCACTCTGGGCTATCATTGAGGGGCATGGCCTCTATGGACTGCCTGTATTCATCTATGTTCTTGCATTTGGGAATCTTGTAACCTAAAAAAATATACATGGTTACTACAGTGACCACAACAACCTTTCCACCAAACCAAATGAAGCTTTGCAGTAATATTTTGGATTTCATTTCTAATTTAATTTGCCCAATGAGATCAATATGAATCTTTAAGTCTGAATAATAAGTTTCTAATGTGTTCCATTAAGAAAATGCCATTTAGACTGAGGAAATATTTTACAGTGCGATATGTTGTGTTTACAATATAATACAAGGCATTAACATGCATATGTCACCACCTGGGATTTGTTACAAACACCAAATACTGAACGCTGAACACTGTCCACAAAAATGTTGGAGACAATAACAATATGTCACCATTTGTGGTGGTGACATAATAGTGTGTTGTTACTTATTTGCATACCTGTGTAGAATTGGAAACTGTCAGCAAACATTGGTTCACCAAACCAAACCTTGGCATAAGTTGTAAGAAGGCGTTTGTCATAATCATCTGTGACACGACCTCCGTATTGGATCTCACAGATCATGTAACGCACAGTACTCCATGAAACACCCTAGAAGATAAGAATGAGGTGAGCATTCACTTTAGAGTTTTTGGCTTCTTTATTTATAATGCTAAACAAATATTTTTTACTATCGATTTATCATTTGTATTATTTTAGTTTTGAAAAATTGTTAATTCATAATAATGTATCTATTTAACAAAACTAAATTACCTTTTTGACATCCATATCATCGAGATGATTTTGCACGAACTGGACGACAGCATTGAAATCTGATTGGTTGAACTCATAGGGAATATTCCATCCAATTGGCCCAAACTTTCTACGCTCCTGAACACATGAGTGTAAGAATGCGACTGCATATAATACTGGTTTCCATTGTGGCATATTTGTGACGTCTAACATTTCTTGGTTAATACCGGCATATGTTCGTTTAAGCCCCGCCTTCATACCTTGTGGGGGTTCATTTGTAAACTTGATTGACGCTTGTAGGAGGTTGATTGGGAATTGTGGGTGGGGCTCAGTTGTTATCCAGACCCTGAATTCAGGACTGACATTTTCTGCTGTTAGAACCTATAGAGCACAAATTAAGAAAGAAATATGAATATTCAAGCATAATTTAAGATAAATTTAAACTATATAGTCAGAGTCTTGCATAAAGCAAATATCAATCCCCTCCCCTACTTATTATTTCTTCTATTGGACACAAAGAAAATCGCATAGTCACAAACATTATTACAAAATTCTTGAGAATATATAAAGCATAAAAAATCCCCAAAATTTCAATGACTGTGGAACTGAAGGTATGTAAATCAAGTCCCATGTATACTGAACAAAGTTCTTGTATCTAAACTCTTAAGGATTGGAATTTACCGTTTCAAGAAGTTCATCCATGAAATCCAGACCAAGATGGCAGTTCTGTAGTAGGACCCAGCTTCCTTGCGAGGCAGCCTTGGCTAGCAATCTCCTTGCATGAACCTCCTGTCCTTGACCCATAGAGATGGCATCAATTGCTGCAAGGAGGAGAGCAAATATCAGAAAACATGCACTCATAATCATTGTTAGACATCAAATTAATGCTCGCTTTAATTACTACTGACATAAAATTTTGCTGATACTGATATAGATAGCAATGGGTAGAAGAAAATTTTTGCATAACATTTTTTTCATCATTTTACATCATTTGAATAATTGTGTAAAATACATCCTCAACATGTGACATCAAATATCATTTTTATTGGATTTATCTATTTCTTGAGAGAAGTAACACAGATTTTCACTTGGCAATCTACTTTTTTCTCTCTGCAAAACATCATTTAAATATCACAGTAACTCTCTGATTAAAAAATCAGAAATGCTTACAAATTGCAAGTTTCTTGGCAAGGCGTTCAATATTCTCTGTTGGATCAGACCCCATGGAAAGGAAACAGGTCATTGGGGTGCGTTTGTCAGACTCTCCCCACATGCCTTCAAGACTGGTGATGATACTCTCTGCATACTGTGGGCCCATAGCATCAGCCACATAGATACGAGCCATTGGAGTTGTCCTGCAAAAATATGCAATTTGATTATTTCATTGGATTACTATGAGTCTTCCAAAAGAGCATGTAGGCACTATGTATGATGAAAAATGCATTTGTAGAGTATATTTCCTGATGGGTGAAATTGACATTGAGGACACACATTAAATGTGGAAATGTAAGTGAATCAACCACTTTATTTAATTTCAAGAGAGAAAGGATTGAAAGTATGAACAAAAGAATTCTGGTGTTGAATGGATCAAGAAGCTTTGAACTGAACTTCCCTAAAGCAGTGTACTTCACTCTGGACATGACCAGTCATCTAACTGTTGATGTTTCAATCTATCAGAGAGCAAAGCAAAGCCACACTTGGCGTCAGATTAAGTCAATTATCATGTTGTTTTCAATCTAAACTGAAAAATCTTTGACCCATAAAAGTATGAATTTAGAAAAAATTTTGCCTTGTCCTACTTTAGATCCAGTATTCTTGCAGTGTTGAGAGTGTAGATGTGTAGAACTTACCTGTCAGGGGACCAAGATCTTATAAGCAACAATTTGTGGAAGGTGTCCAGTACACTGCCATAGCCATCTGGTATAGGGGCATCTTCAGGTGCATCTTCATCAAACCAATTCTTCCAGGCCTACAAATTAAAAAATTAAATACACGTGTGTACAATCTACATTTGTCAACTTTATACATAGATGTATGTGTCACTTAATTTTGATTTTGGATATAAGGATAACACTGATTTTGAGTCATTGCTTCACTTCTGCCAATATTTGAATTACTCCAGAATTTTAAATCTTCAATGTTTGATCTCAAGGTATTTTATGTTGTATAAGGTGATGTATTAAAAAGATAGACCATTTATGGATTTGCTTATCTATTTAAGGAAGACACTGTATTTTAAACCAGGCATTGTATTACCAAATAAGGCACAATAATAAATAATATAAAAAATAATAAAAGCCTTACACAACTGTAACTGAGACTAACAGCAAATGCCAAATGTTGATCAAGGCCACAATTTTCACTTACCTTATCATTCCTGCCCACCTGGGACAGAATCTGTGAGAACATTGGAATCTTAGAGCTTAACTCCACCAGATTCAACCATGTCATGTCCAGGATCCACTTCTTAGGTTTGGGTTCCACTGAATTCAAATCTAGGGCTGCACCACCTAGAGAAGCACAATAAAAATTGAATGGTGCATCCCCAAAATTGAAAATAAAATTGAAATTTCGACAATCATATATTTGGCATTGAATCTATTAGGAACTTATGAAGTTACAATTTTGAGATTGAATACCATTATTCATTTCATATGACAATGTTGCTTTATATAAAAAGAATTTACACTTACCTTTAATAAACACCTGGAATTCTTGATGCTTGATATGACCCTGTTGCAGTTGAATTTTCAATGTCATCAGAATTGTGAACAAAAACTTGTCCACCTCATAAAGACCTCTAGCAGTGTATCTGAACACTTCATATGTCATGGTTTCTATAATGGCTGCAATACGCTTGGCAGGAACAGGGCTCTTGGCAGCTTTCTCTAGTGAGATATCAAAGACACCAAGGAACTGTCCAAGTGATGTCTGGTACATGACATTCACCATGCTCATTTCAACAATCAAGAAGTACAGGATACTGCCCCTAGTTGCAACTGGAAAGAGAAAATTGGGACAATTTACAATCGAGGACATATCAAATTAGACCAATCAAAGACTTGAATATAGTAGTTCATTCAATTTTTTAGAGATGGAATTTATGGAAACATCATAAGAGAAAAAGGCAATAACATACAAAATGTCACCACCTGCCATTTGTTACAGATACTGAACGCCAAGTGCAGAACAGCAACCACCAAACAAAATACCTACCTGGTCTGTACTCCTCTCTTGCTCCATTAATTTTGATTTCAGTCTCAGAGGCAATCACTAACTTCTCACTGACCTCTGCAGCTGTCACTTTGGTGTTGGCAAGCACCTACAATACAATTGAATACAATACAATGGATGGAATACAATAGTATGAAATGTAATTACAATATAGTGAAATACAATACAATGTAATACAATACAATGTAGGAATACAATACAATGGATTGTAACACAATGCAGTGGAATACAATACAATGGAATACAATGTAGTGGAATACCATGTCTAGAAATACAATAGGTTTTACATATGGGATGTCCTTCATCAATTCACTTTGATTGTTGACTGCAGGTACAGTATATCTAAAATTTCTGTTCAATAACTGTTCAATTTTCTTTCATCAATTATCTAAATTTTGGGATTTACTTTTGCAAGCATACATCATGTAAAACGAGTGGATGTCAGTTTTTAAAGAGAATTATCCTAAAGTTATTCGTGCTATGTGTATGTGCAATATGAACATACCTGTATAAGGGACTCATCCTCAACAAGGGAGCCTTGAGTCGATGTGAGTTTAAAAAGGAGATTGTCTTCAAGTTCTTTCATCTTGCGTTTGTTTCCTGTAACTTCTTCCATCAACTTTGTTCTTTCTTCTTCCAATTCCTAAATGAATGGACATTGATTTTAAATAGAGAAAAAATATATACGACTGCCGGGAATAATTATACAATTGAGAGATGACATTTTACAATTAAACTGTGAGAGATCATTTTACAATTACAGAAATTGTATATTACAATGTTTGTAAAAGGCAACTTTGAAAATGTTTGAAATTCTCATTAGTCAAAAGAATTTTTGATATATCAACTCATACAAAATACAGGTCAGGGGGCTCCTAAGTGCATATCATGTCAGCCCCCCCCCCAGTGCATGTACTGGAATCAGAATAACAGAAGTAACCTTAATGCATACCTTCTTCTCTGTTTGAATGACTCTGCCCAAAAGCTGGTCCTCCAGTCCCTTGATGGTGACTGTAAAGTCAATGATAGAGGTCTTGGCAGAGATTTCAGGGGTATAGGCAGGGTTAGATAGCTTGGTTGTGATGTAGAGCTTGAAGTTGTCCATAACATCAACCTCTTTATCACCAACTTTCACCTAGTAAATATAAAGTTATATTAATTATACAGTAAAATCTGGACAGTCTTTAGATAATAAATATGTTATGTGATGTTTTACATTCCCAATTTTCATATATCATATAATCCGGAAGACGTTAAGAAAACCATGCTTAAGTGCTGTATTTCATATAATCCTGAAGACGTTAAGAAAATCCATGCTTAAGTGCTGTATATTATATAATCCTGAAGACGTTAAGAAAATTCATGCTTAAGTGCTGTATATTGACAAAAGTCTTACATCAATATGTCAAATTGTTTATATGTTGTTCATTAAAAAAATAATTAATAACACTTTTTCTGAAACAAAATGTCAAGCCAATCAGCAATCAAACCTACTTTAAGCGTGCGGCCTGATTTGATGAAATTCTTCTCGAGGACATTGTCGAGAGCTGGATCTAATTCTTCTCCCACATCTTCAATCAATAGAGGTCGCCCAAGTGACAGCGCATCTTCCAAGTGGGTACGGAAGTATTTGTGATTCAGTGAGGTAATCTGAAGCTCGTTATCCTTTTCACGGTTTGTAATCCAGGATTTTCCCTGACCCTGAGGATCAATCAGTAGAGGATATCTGGAAAAATATGTCAACAACTGAGAGTCAAATTGTTCATTTTTTACTTTAATTAATTTCAAATACTCAGAAGCAATGCAATGAAATAGGCAAGAGTTCGACAATAACAGTATTTCTACCCACATAAATGATCATCCAAAATGATCTACGTGGTACGACAGAATATTCTAAAAACAAATACACAAGTAAGTACTGTAGATAATACATTAAATAAATCTAGAAGTAGTGATTTTTACCTTGCAGCTTTTGTGACAATAAGACCATTCTGTGTTGAGAGTTCATCACTTGGCAAGCCTTCCAAATTCCATTCTGAGATAGTGTTTTGATGCACTAACATGGTGATGATGTTCAAATCCTAGAAATGAAATTAAAACATGATATATGAGATATGAAAGTTCGCTATTTCAAAACTATAAATAAATGTTTGTGATATATTTTATATGGAATGGAACAGGACTTTTCTATATCAAAATTGAATTCAAAAAACAGAAACAAATTTAATTTTAAAAAATATGCAATTTGGGATTGGTAATCCCTGATGAAGTCATGTTTTTGTGATTCCATATTGACTTTATTCAACCACAGTGAAGACACAATGAAGAACTGCAGAGTTTCAATTTGGAATCATTTAATTATAAATAAATACATTTACTCTGTGGTATTTGCAATTAAAAATGAGTTTGTGATTGCGATGCAGATAAATAGAGTTTCTTTTTAATCATGTGATCAATTCTAAGCCAATGAGAGAGTGAGAAACATTCCAATGATATGATAATTTTATTATTGTACATGTATGCTTACATTACTGAAAGGGATTTTTCCTTTCATCATTTCTTTCTGCCAGTTTGTCAACATGAGTGTTCTGAACTCTTGGTTGAATGGACCAGAGTAAGAGAGAAACCCTGTGGCCAACAATACATCACCAACCTGGAATGAAGAAACACAAATTATGCACGGAATTAACAAGCAAAATGTCACCACCTGTCATTTGTTACAGGCACCTATCTTAGACCACTCCTGGTGGTGAAATGATAATTATTACTAATAATAAAATCGTATACTTATACTGAAAACATTAACATAAACTGTTTGTTCATAAACACCTCTTGGCCCTTAGGGTGTCATCGACCACTTTTTGGATAGCAATTATGGCACTTTATGAGCTTCTTGATGAAGGAGGGGGGGGGGGGTGTTTATACAGGGGCAAGCACCATTTACATGTACACCAGGGTTTTCAGATCAAAATTTTTTTCAAGCAAGACCTTTCTGATCACAAATTTTCCATTGAAAATGACTGTTATAACTATGAGTGTATCTTAAAAAATTCCTTACCAGCCTCTGTATCTGAGCCTCAAATGTCTTTGATGCTTCAGTCCATCTGATCTTTTCTCCAGCAAGCCCATCAATTAGAGCTGTTGCATTGGTCATTTTGCGCCTAGTGGCCTCAGCATCATCCAGCAAGTCTTGCTTCTCTTTCATGGCTGCATCGTACATAGCTTGGACAGCATCTAGTTCTTTCTGCTTCTCATCAAGTTGAGCCTGAGCTGAGTTCAGATCTGCCATGGCAGTTGCCAGTCTTGCTTCTTGGACCACTAAGTTAGCCTAAATGAGGAAAGTCGAAATTGTAACTCAAGCAGACTCTTACATTCTCCTTAGTCCCAGCACTTGATTATTTGACTGTTGTATTTACAAATGTTGCCCTTTGATCTTGTGATCTTGCATTTACCATGGTATATGATCTGCATCACATTGTAATTATCTGTATGTATGACATTATGAATAGATCATAACTAAAAGAAATATATCAATCAAATATTCACCCGATGCTTCAACATTTGCATCTAGTTCAGGTCACAAACAATTTATATTTTGATCAGTTTGAAATATGAAAATATTTGTTTAGAATTGGCAAAAATAAAACATCCTATAATAAGAGAACATTGACTTTGGCTTTCAATCCAACTTCAATTTGGTGTCACAAAATAACACACATAAATAACGTACCTTGAGTGGTAAGACCTCCCTATTGATTTCATAGAACTGGCACATAGCAATTGTCCAACTGCAGAGTCCAGCTACATCACCACAAGATTTGGTGGCTGCCTCTAAATTATAGTCCTCCATCTGTATGTAGGGCTGCACCAACTCCACCATCTCTCCAGTGATCGTATCCTAAAATATATTTGCATTCAAATGTATCATCAAAACCTATTGAGGTCAAATACATGCAAAGGGCAAAACGTTTACAGAGGTTTATTTCACATAAAGTTTTGAGCTACTTATGGCGACATCCAATTTGACAGATTTTACCATATCTCAGGGTAAATGCATGGTTTTGATTGGTCAAAGAACAGATTATAGTCATATTGATGAATCGGACTGAAAAAATGGCGAACTCATTAAGTTGGTTTACATAAGTTTGCCTCATATTCAAAAGTGCAATTGTTTATTTCACTATCTCCATAAGACTGAATTGACTATCTGAATCATGTTTCCTGGTCTTAGTTGAATCAGTTGAGGAATAATTTTTATTTTACAGTTAAACAGGCACCAATCATGACTCATTGGACCATTGGTCTTGTATCTTAAAACATCTCTACCAATGAGGATTGCCGAATTACCTTTGGAAATTGCGTTAAACCATTCAAGAAGCCACTGCCTCCCATAAGTTTAAGAGCGTCAGGCCAGGATGGTTTAGGGCATCCTTTCTCAACATCTAACTCGACTGAACTGATCTTCTTTTGGAACATAAGCAGCACACAATCCATAATCCTCATGATCAAATGTGGAGGTTTTGCCAGCTTACGTACTGGAATAGAACAAAATAATATGAAAAATTGGGTGTTAAAGTTTGCAGTAGTTGTTGTGTTGAGTGCCAAGTGCAAAGTTATACATTTTCGCACAACTTTTTTAGAATTTCAAATTGTCTATAAAAAGCTGGATTGTCATGAAAAATCTACTATTCCGTGTGCAAGTTCTAAAAATGTAGATTTGAATTCAAAAACATTATGTCAAATATGCGAAGCAATATGACAATCCTGACAAAGGAAGCAGTTGAATCAATAAAGAAAAAAGACATGTGACATTACTTATAAAATGAATGAACAGGCATGAAGTAATAGTCCTAATTGGGAAACATATCTAATAGAGAGATTGCAGGAATGTGTGTTATCTCCCTACCACTTGCCATAGGATAAATGAGACTGTGTTACTCCATACCTGTGGATATATGAGCAGGTTTGATTGTCTCTAAAGCTTTCTCAGCTGCTTCTAAAGCTGGTTTAGCTGCCTCTAGTTTGCCCTCAGCTACAGCCTTGTCTGCAGTTATACTGTCTACAATCACCTGAGCCTTGTCTTTAACAACCTGTACTTGGTTCTTCACCTGGTGGAGTAAAAACATCCAAAATAATCAATGAAATATGAATAGTGGACTGTTTCAATGTTGCAATAGTTATAGAAAATTAGAAAATGAAGTTAATTTTCATTATGGTGCAATCCCCCCCCCTTCCCTATTACAATGTGTAAAAAGTGATTTGCCTTTGAATTTTTCAAAAACCAACATTCCACGCTCATGTAAAAAAATCAAAATATACTCTCTTCTCTTCCCTCTGCCAAATTGCCTTAATATCAAAACATTTTCATAACTCTCTTGAATTTAGTAAAAGTTGTCATTTCAAATCATATTGTTATTGCTGACCGTTTAACAACCAACAAACCTTTTCAGCAGCTTGGGCTTTGCTGGTGACCTCCTTCAGTACTTCCTCTGCCTTCTTAGAAGCCACAGCAAGCTCTTTCTCCTTAACAACCAGTTCTTTGGACAGTTCATTGACAGACTCTGTAGCTTCAACAAGCTTCTTGAGACCTGAATCAAGTGAATATAGCTCATTGAAACCAGTGGCACAAAACAGTCTGTGAATATTACAATAGCATATTACATCCAAGGCATCAAGGTCCATTATGTCATTTTGCACCTTTCACAATATTGTTTCAAAGATCATTTCAAAAAATAATATTACAGTACTTTCATCAATCAATGGATCCAATGACATCAGGTGCAACCAGGGAACAAGGCTAACATGACAATACCATCATCTGGTAAGTTATTACAAATGCTTACAAAAGTCTAGCAATTTGTTACAGATGCTGACTGCCAAATTGAAACAGTGGCTATTACAACAATGTTTTAAAACTTTATAGTACACTCTACAAAACCTATCACCTAGAAATGCATAAGATACTTTGTTTGTCTAATTGTATTGTTTAGTATATTTTTGAAAGTGCCTTAGTAACATCTAACATTCAACCGATAAACCATTAATAAGGAACAGACAAATAAAAACAAATACATAATCATTACTAATAAGTCAAATGGGTTCCTCATGAACACCAAATGCAAGGTATAGTAGAGTGTAGTAGTGACAGGTAAATTATCGAATTAGTATGTCACCTGTATTCATTCTCTCTGCTAATTCACCAATCTCAGCCTTCTTAAGGGCATATATCGTCTTATAACCAGCCAAGAAAGATAGGTAAGATTTGGGTGTGACGTGGGTCTGACGACGGAACCTCTGGAAATACTCTATACACATCTCAGCGACCATGTCCTAAAATAGAGAAAAACAGGCATATTTATTTATATGTTTCTGTTCACATCATGATCAGGAGCTTTTTTTTCAGGAGCTTTAAGCAATGATGTAGCATGAGCCCTGATAATCTCCATTAAAATCTTGAAGGTGGCCATGTGAATAAAGGACGGGTCTGGCCTTGATTCTTCATGACAGGGACTAGTAGTGACAGTCCCCCAGTGGGGAACATGCCAGAAAATGAGGCAAGATTGGTCCGCACTAACATCTCCTGGACTTAGGTCAAGGATATTTGGAGGCCAGGGTCAAGTTGACCTGTAGTGGTTATTATTGAGATTTTCTGACCAGGCTTTTGAAGACAATTCATTTTTCTCATCTTGTTAGATTAATTTGGAATTTCAATTCCAGTTGAGAAAATATCCTCAAACAAACACCATGTGCTGCTAACAGGATATAACAAACCTGAAATTCTCCCATTGTGTTGACAATAGCCTGTTTTACATTAGCAGAGCTGTTAACAAGATATAACAAACCTGGAATTCTCCCATTGTGTTGACAACAGCCTGTTTTACATTAGCAGAGCTTTTAACAAGATATAACAAACCTGGAATTCTCCCATTGTGTTGACAACAGCCTGTTTTACATTAGCAGAGCACACAACATCAAAGCTGGACAGGAAGTGGTTGGACACAGCAACAAGGGCATCTTTTGGCCAACGTTGGAACCAATCCATGGTGCAACCAGAAATAAGACCAGGGAATTTGAGCGATCGGGAACGGAACTTCTCACCAACCTGTAATGCAGTCAAACATAAATATCATTTACGTGTCACTTTGTTAAAATCTAATTGAAAACAAGGCATTAATGCAAATTGTCACCACGTGCCACTTGTAACAGACGACGAACGCCGGATGCCAACTGCCGAATGCTTTTGGTAGTTATATAATAATAAAGTTAGAAAATAATCAAATAATGCAAACACATTTCTGACCCACTTTTTTACTTCATTCATGCTAATTTCACTCTTTTTACCCTATATCACACTTTGCATAACAAAAGACATCTAAAAATTGCCACTTACCGGAGAGAAACAGAGTACGACGTGGAGGTTATTTCTCACTCTAGTCAAATAATAGTCATAGAGATTATCATTGGTAGGGGGGCGGCGCGGGAATTCTTTCTTCATTATTGGTACAAGCTCTTGCAAAATTTCATCCATCTCATCCCTTGCAAATAAGTTTGATACCTGAAATATAAAATATACATCTCTCATAAAACAAAACGTATCATGGATGACATTTTGAAAACAAAGTACTGTACAGAATAGCTGTGCTGACGGCAAAACAAATCTTTTGAAAACATCAGAATACTCAAGCTCAAAGTCATATGAATAAGAATGTGTAAATGAAATGAGATTTTGTTTCAAATTAGGTGATTGTCATTCTTAAAGTCTCAAAATAACTCTTACAAACTGATTGAAGATTGCATATGGTGCAAACAGCTTTTTTAACTTTTTTTGTTATTTTTTGAAGGTGAAAGACATTATGGTCACAAGTGTTAAGTGAACCACTAATATTATAATTTACAAACCTCTCCAGATGCCAGTACATTATTCATATACTCAAGGAAACCCTCATCTTTAATTTCATTATCCGTAAACAGAAACGTGATTCCTTTCCCCCGTTGTCCAGCTGTGCGATATAGCACCTTCAGATCATCCATGAGGTTAGAGACATTATAAGACCTGAAAGTAACAATTATTTCTAATTTTTCCTGAACTGTTTCACCACGATTTAAAAAAAGAAAAGACAAACATTAACATGTAAGCATTAACATGCAAAATGTCACCACCTGCCATTTGTTACAGATGCCGAATGTCAAAGATCAACCACCAATCACCGCCACAAAAAACTTGTAATCACCTGTGGAGGTGACATATTAAAAGGATGATGTTTTTCATTATTCTAATTGAAAATAGATGACAAATCAAAGATTCATATCTTATTTAAGAGTAAGCATGGCATTCAGCTTTTGCAAAGGGTACTCACCTTGTAAGAGTAATCTGGAATATGTCATAAGCAGCAATAAATGAAGCAAGTCTAGTTAGACTCTGCTTTCCTGAGCCACCCACTCCAACCAGCAGAGCATTACCCCGAGCTGTTCTAATGATACGCGAGATCTTTACTAAATGGGTCATCGCATCCTGAAAAATGAAAATACTTGATATTCGAAATCCATGATTCTCAAATGGTGAATGTAAAATAAAAGGTTCACATTTTTGAAAAAATGATTTTTTTATGTTGTTCTACAGGCTAAACTATGATTAATTCAAGTCAATATTAGCATGGACTGTTTAAGGTGCATTAAATGTTCAAGTGATATGTAAACAAAGCATGCGTTTAAAGATTTGATAATGATTACCTTGAAGAATACTAAGTCCATCTTGCCACCCCGCACTGCTTCATTGTAAGACTCCATGAATAACAGTAGCCTGAAAAGGTCAAATATGGATTTTCAATCATGTTGTAAAAATTACATTTAATTAATGCCATGGTCACATTTGTTCCGATTTTTACTACGGCGCCGGCCGATTGAGTATTTTGTTCAAAATTGAATACACTATTGAACAAAACAGTCAATCGCCCAGGCGCCAGCCGATGGATCGGAGCAATGTGACCCAAGCATTAGTGACATAACAGTTTTACCACAAACCTCGAAGAAAGAAGGGGCCCACTTTATAAATATCGATATACATGTATAGAGGTCGTAATCAACATAAAAACCATGTTGTATTCATTCACAAACATACTTGAGATATAGAGCCAGAGGTCAAGTTCAACATTTATTTCAATTTGTAAATAAATATACATATCATCTAAAAGGCTGTCATACCTGTCAGAGAGCTGATCATAAGATTCAATTTGTTCATAAATCTTAGGTGCGTCAAGATCAATATCTTCCGTTTCTTCTCCAGTGGGTTCTGGGGCATCACGCAGGAAGTCAACATAGTAGGGCTCGGCATGCAGCTCATTGGCCAATGCTGACCCGCAATTCTCTTCAGCTACCTGAGATGAAAATGAAGAAAAATAAAATATTATTCTTACGTTCAATCAATCTTTTAACGTTTGAATGTTCAATTCTTCAAGCATTATTGGTCAACACTGATTGAGAAATCTGAAGGGTAGTGTTTTAAATTCAAGTCAATTTGTTACTCAAAGTGATTTCTGATTACAATATAAAGCTATTATTCCAATTTAATTGTGTTTTAGATCCCTAAAATGTCCTACAGAAGTTATTACACAACAATGAAGACCAAAGTGGAGTTTATGGACCGTGAAAAAACATATGATTTGTAATTAATTAAAACTTAAATACTCAATTCAATATTCACACATACATCCTGTATATTAAGGTACTACATGGTGTCTCAAAAAATGTCTCCAACAATATTTCAACAGCAGGGATAAACCAATCAATATCTTGAGACAATTTTTGCATCGTCATGTAGCCGAAGCATGTTAGTTCTCCCCAATATACAGTTTAAAAAACAATTTTATAGAGACAAATCTACTCACTTTCTGTACTGCTCCTTCAAACCACTCTTTATCTTTGGATGTGGTAAACCTGTCAGCAATTACTCTATAACATTCATGTTTCCACAGGGCAAGGAGACTATTTGGGGTTTTACAAGCATCTGGACTGATTATTAACATGCCCTAGAAAAGGTGATTTAATTTGTTAATAAATACTTTCTTGCATTCAGATACACATTTAAGTGTAGACAATCAAGTGTCATTCCTTCTAACATCTTTCACTAATTTTCAATTCATTTTGCTTTTTTAAAAATTCCAAGTAAGCAATATTGCCTCATACACTTTTAGTATTTGATGGATTATCCAGTTTACATTTATACATTAACATTTTAGGTTTTATTGAGTTGCCTACTTTGATGATAAATCGTAAGTATAATACGCTGATTGCTTTCACATATGTTTTTATATGATAGATTTATTAGATTGATGTTTATAATCTACTTTTGAAGTGCTAAATACACAGTCAAAACAGACCAATTGAGGATTGTAGATTACAATTTCTAAGTGTCAAAAATAAGTGTTTGAGTTTAGCCAGTTATGTGGATTAAATCCCTAATGCCCCAACAGAATGTCTCCCCCTTCAAGTATTGTATAACATTAACTGAAAGAAATGAAAAATGAATATACATGTATTATACTGTAGTGTGCCCTACCTGCCAAATTCTACTGAGATCTCTCAAGTTGAAGATATAATGGAACTTTGCAGGTGTGGGCAACATCTTAACTTTGGTTCTCTGCCACAAAGTCCTTGTAGCTGCAATCAATTGCTCAACCACAGACACTACTTCATCACTGAAACCTCTCTCCTGAAAGTTCACAAAGAATTATAAACATTATGGAGCCCAGCAAAACAGTTAAGTATCTGCTCATTCAAATAATTAGTTAAAAATCAAACCTTAGTTTCATGCTCATTGAATTATACTTTGGGCTTCTCTCGCACCTAATTGCAAAAATCAGTATTTTCAGTCATTTATAAAGTTGTTACCACATTGAATCTGAATTTGACATCTGAATCCTTGTAAGCATAACAGAGAGTTAGAGGCCAGCAAAGTATCAAGTTGACTCAGATTATATAATTCATATATGATTTATACTTAAAGCATTAGGTTTTACCTGACAGAAATGTCCAAGGCCAACTGTTCTGAAGATCTTATCAATGGAGGCATTAGATGGGAGTGTACAGTTGAAAACGTTGAATTGTCTCTTCAATCTCTCTGGGATATCATTTCTTCCTCCACCTGTAATTACAATTCATGTGAAAGATATTCCAGTACATGTGGGAAATCTGAAGTGCACATATACAGTTATTATCAGTGGTCATTATTTTGTCAACACCATAAGTGGTGACATATTGTTATAATTTCCAACTTTTTGTGGAAAGTGTTCGGCAGTCAGCATCTGTAACAAATGGGAGGTGGTGACATTTTGCAAGTTAATGCTTTGATTATTTTATGGATGTTGTGAAAGTGTGATTTCATGATATTAGCTATGACAATTTCAAAGGTCAAGTAGTATGAGAGTATTAAGGACGTCCTATAGGTTTTAAAGGGATACCCATATCTGTTAATGTAGATGATTTGGCTTAGAAATGCATTGGCTCCCAATTTATACCACGCAGTTTTAATTATGCATTTTCTTGGAACTGCACATTTTTAATTTTTCTCGCATCTTCATGCACACAAGCAGCAATCTGTACACCAAAACCAAATGTATATATTGTATTTTTATTCTTGTATCGAAAATAGTAATCTATGTCTACCAACATTCCTTATCTTTGATATTAATTTTGTATTAATGGTAACTTTAAATCTGGTTTGTATCGAGAAGCGAGTGTCATCTTAAATTCACTACAGTGATTAATTACCGGGTCACTGGATGGTCAACCTGCCTCTTTTTTACTCTTGCTTTAATTGGGTACCTTCAGTTGCCACATATAGAATACAGGAATACAGGTCTCATTCAAAATGCAAAACTTAGTGGAAAAGAGTGGAATTTGCATCAAATTATGTAAACAGTCATAAAGCTGAGGATCTAAATTGTATAGAAATGCCAAAAAATCAAATCACTAATTCAAATCACAGGAAATTGTGTGAAATAAGGATGAGCAGACGGAAATTTTGTAAAGCAGACAGACATACCTGGATGAATCATGGCAGCGATGAGTTGTATGTCTACAATGTTGGTAAACTCTCCTGGTTTGTCAACATTATAGAAACCTCTCATTTCCATCATCTGTCTTGTGATCTCATTAGTTACCTACAAACATTAAGATAAATTACAATGGATAGATGGGCCTTTTGGCTTTACTCATACAATACTTCGGTTGGATCAATGATTTGTAGAACCTGCCACCTGTATTTGTGATCTTGAACACTTGTATAATCTTTCATTTATCTTCGATTTATTTTGCTTTATCTTCGCTGAATTACTCGATTTTATACAATACTTTACAATTTATTTCAATTTCAAATAATTTTACCTGATCTCCCCACTCATTAATGATTGGCATGTTGATGTCATCAATGAAGACTGTCATTTTGCGACCTGCTGGGGGTCCATATGTGGTTCCCATACGCTTGTCTACATAGCTCTCTATTGTTCTCTAGAATATGATGAAATAATATGGATACCACACTATAATTCATTAATTATAATTCATTTCAATAAATGCAGGAATGTTAATTTCACAATGTGACTTTATAAAATTGGTTAAATGTATTTGATGCAAATCATAACACCAAAAAACCCTGGTTACTTTGAGATGGGAGGTCTATCCCAGATCATAAATACTCAAGCTCGCAGTCAGAAGTGTGTAGATAAACTTGCGATAGTATAATAACTGATCATACTCTATATTGAATTAAACCACTGATTTGTTGTTTGAATTTGTGTTTTCGTTATGCCGTTATCAAGTACTCAGTCTTAGTGAATCAAAATAGTTTTGTTTTAACTTGAAGAATTTAAGGTATGCCAAAGGACAAAAACTTACCTGGAACATGATTGGTGTACTGGCACTTGAGAAGTTGAAACTTTTGAACATGTGAGCTTCAGGGTCAAATTTACCACAATATCCCTTGATCATTACAGTTTTGGCAGTACCCTAAAAGTAAAGAAAATTCAATTTATTAGTTTTAATCTTAATGCACTTATATCTTGTAAGAGAGATGGCATGAATCAAGCATAAGAGCAATGAAAATTAAATGTTGAACATTTAAAAGTAGAACATGTCCATGTATTTCAAAATAATTTATATTGCTCTATTTACATACTAAACTATATTGTTATAAATGCTTCATTCTACTCTCACCTGTTCACCAATGAGTAGAACAGCTTTCTGCTGTGATGCAATAGTGCTGATGAGGAAATCTGTTCTAACATTGTCCACATTTGGCACCAAAATAGAACTATACTCTGGGGTTGAGTCTTTCGGGTATACATACTCGGGTACCTTGATATAAATGTAAAATAACATAAAATTGACAAACATAGATGAATTGGGGGTATAGATGCAACATAATTCTGGACAAATAACCCAGATGCGAGTAGAAATAATCTTGATTTACGTCATTAAAAATTCAAAATCGAGTCAAAGTAATATCATATTTGAAATCTACATGTAAAATTACATCTAGAAATGTGGTTTTAAAAAGTGTTTATCAACTTTGAAAAAATAATTTTCTTGGAAAATGTGACTTCTAGCTCGGGGAGATTCCCCATAGACCCCATGCTATAAAATCACAAAAAATGAAATATCTTTTCTTTTAGTGGACAGATAATATTTTGCTTTACTGGACATATTTTCATTAGTATAAGTATCAGACACATAAGGGTTATATGAAAATTGAGCCACTTAAATTGATAATATTCAAGTTTAAGGGCACTTTATTATATACCTGCCATGTTAATTGACCCGAATCAGCCACCTGGTGGTGAAACTGGTAACTACCTACTCGCATTTGGGTAATTGATATTGAACTTGATTATATTTTAAAAGTGTGCTGGGGTGGTATTCCCTTGCCAATGATTGCAAAAACAATCTGCAAATAGTTATGTATTTGCTCAATTGAAAACCTTTCAAAATAAAGTTTTCTGTAAAGTAATATGAATGAATCTTACCCTATTGGACCAGTGCTCCCATTCTCCAGCATCACTGACTACAAACTCAAACATTGTATCATCTCCCTGGCAGTCTGGTAGAGGCAGTCCCTTGCATTTCTCACGAACCAATGATTCCATCTGAAATAGAAAGAACATACATGTATATAAATACATCACTGACTACATGTAGTACTACATGGACTACAATTGCAACAAGGCATTAACATGACAAAACTTCATCACCTAGGTCACAATATTATGAGTTCAATCATTAAGTCAGATTTGAATTTCTGAAAATTTGAAGATGATTTTGAAAAAATAAATTGTTCAATTTGAAGCAAGTAGACAAAAGACGATTTCTGACCCTGAAAAGGTCAAATCTCAAATCTAAAGTCAGATTTTGAACTTCTGAGAACTTGCAGATGATTTTGAAAAAAATTGGTCCATTTGAAGATTTGTTAAGTTATTGGAAGTTTTTTGTTACAGACCCCACCCGCCGCCTGCCATCTGCCACCCACCAACCACCAACTGCCACCCAAAGTAAAAAAAACGGAGACCATAATAATAAATCACCACTTTTGGTGGTGACATAACAAACAGAACCAATGATTCCATCTGATATAAAAATATGAACAGGTTAAGTAAAATTTTGGCTTAGATACTATATGGGGATAAAACAGGTATATGCCTTATATCCTCGATGCAATGCATGTGATTTATCCCATCAGGTGAAATAATAGCTGTCATATGAATGCAAGACTTCTAGGGGCTTCAGCAAAAATATTGACAAAAATATTGATTACAGAGAGATAACACATTATGTCAGTTTCGTTTAAGTAATTTCTTTCAAACACTTTTTTGATTTATTATTCACGATGATCTCTTTATCTGAAATAGACCACTTGAAATTTTATCAGATTTTTATTGTTCTATGCAGATGTAATTCATGATCGAGCCATTGCAAATTGTAAATTTACAACGGAGTCAACGTTTTTTTCGAAACCTTCTGCAATATTTACTCCTAAATTCCTTTTTATTAGAATTCAAAGGGAACAAAATGGCAAGACCTTCTGAAGGTAAGAATCTTAATAAGTATTTTAATCATATTACCATATTAGCCGTGATTGGCACCTGGGTGCTTATGGTAAGTCAAAACACTTCAAAAAGTTAGCGCACATTATTGTACTATTATTGATTTTAGATTTCCAATGTAAGTAGCTAGTTGCCAATCAATTTCTAGCGTAAAATTTTAATTTTTTAATTTTTTTTCAGAGCCGTTTCTGTATGCCTTAATATCACTTGTGGCGCTTATTATGGCTATGGTGTCAGTACATATTCAAAGTATGTGCAAGAATTGCCACATTCGCAAAAGGACAGTGGTGCCCATACCATGTGGGCATGTTGAATGGTGCCCAGATTGCTATAACCAAATATACAACAATGCATTGCCATATTGCCTAATATGTGGATGCCCAATATGTGGAACTATAACTAATGCACTAAATTAGATCACAGGAAAGTGATACCGTAAATATATTGACATAATAACACATTGAGATATATATAGTATACTGCCTAGCAGTGCATTGGAAGAAAATAACATGAGGAATATGTTCAAGTTATTCCTTTCTTTTTCAAACAGTTTCAAAGGATATAAAGATGTCCGCCAGGAAAAAAGATGTGATGTGATGAATATGCTTGGACTTCCTATCGATGTTTGACAGTACAATGCGTTGCAGTAAAACCTGTGTAATCCAAATGCCCCTTGGACAAGTCAAAAGTATTTGGATTAGAAGGTGTTCACATTTCAAGGTTTTTTAACATGGAATTCTATGAGAGATAACAAAATAAGAACTGAGAAAAAGTGTTCACATTGGAAGGTGTTCGAATTAGAAAACTATTTGGTTAGATTTCACTGTACATGGAAACAATATAAATAGCATTTACAACCTAAAACGATTAATCAACAAATTGACAGTCAGTGGTGATAACCACTTGGGTATAACATCGACCATTTACATTGACTTTCAATTCAATTCAATTTCAAAATAATTTATTTCAGTTTTCATTACAAAAATTACAACATTATACAGGCTATGACACCCCAGGGGGTGTATGACTGCCCATAATTAAATTTACAATAAACATGATAAACTGTGAACATTTAAAGTGGTACATAGGTCAATACAATAATATAATATAAATACAATATACAAATACAATAATATGAGACAATAAAGAAATGAAATAAATGTTTTGGTTACTCTGTACTCAGGAGGTCAATTTTCAAACGAGATATGAGTGAATTTAATGGTTTATTTCTAATATCTTCATTGAGGGAATTCCATATATATGAACCATGGACCTTAATAGAATTTTCACCAATTCTGGTTCTATGTTTAGGAATATGACTTAAGATGTACTTAAGATGATATACTATAAGTTATTCAATGATTCGAGTGAAATACAGAAAATATTCTTCCCGAGAAGGTCGTATTTCACGATGCGCTAGCAGAGTGAAATACAGACGTTCAAGGGAAGAATATTCTCTGTATTTCACAAGATTTCTGAGATTTTTAATCGATATTCCTTCAAAATCTTTATGGCCTTGTTGTTTGCTTTTTGTTTGCGTGTTTTATCTTAAAATTATTGATTGTGGTGATCACAGTATACGTTTCTGATATTTGAATCAGATATTTATAGCAAAATTCAAAGATAAGCATGCGTTGGTGTAAAGTAATCGCCATTGATTTTTTTCAGTAACAGTCATATCCTGGATGGAAATTTGAAGTCATTGACACTGGAAAGTGCGTGTAAATACAGAATATATTTAAGTCACGTGGACCAATCAGATTGCAGGGAATTTCACCATCATGGAATAAAGTACAATATCAAATATGTCATAATACTCATAGTCATAAAAGTATAGAGGTCTGTCTGTATTTCCTACATTGATGATTGGTCAATATTGATCACATGATGAACTGCTGTCGTCCTTTTGCTTGACTTAGGCAATCTACAGTGCATTGGTTGATAATTATCCCGTGATGAATCATATTCATAATGAGCAACTGTATTTTGCAATTGTAAATATTATATTAGTATATCAACAGTTTATGTATGCCTCATGTTTTAGTTTAAAATAAATAAATCAGCTTTCATATAAGGGAAAACAATGGCCTTGCCTATATATAGTAACATAATGATTATCTAAATGGTACATTCAGGTCGCAGAATCTTTTGCCCTTCTTTTCTCACTCATTTCTGACTGCATGCTTAAAATCCTTCACTAATCATTACCAACCAATACCAACTGCTAATACACTTTTTTATGGGATCACATTTTATATTTCAGACAATTTATTAAGATTAAATATAAATACAATATGAATGTAAAAGTACCTTGCGTCTGTCTTCTAACTCTAAGACAGCACCAAGAGACCACATGATGGCAAACACTATCAGCTTCTGAAGATGTTCACTTCCAACCTCAACATTGCCCTCTCCCTTAGGAATGAGGCCCTCAAGTAGATCAATGGCCTGTCTGATGTAGTTACACTCAAGGATCTGAAAATATTAACCAATGTAAAATTATCTCACAAATAAGAAAGGTAACATGTCAAGAAACAATAATATCTAAAGATCTTGATATTTCATCAATTTTTCTAAATTCAATTTTTCTAAGTCTTTCACATCGAATATATATTCAAAATCCCTAAAATATACAATAGATTAACAGTCAAAAGTTTTTTTTGATTTTCAACAACAGGTAAAGTTCATAATATGATTGTCGAAACACTTCACTTGATGGGATTTTAAACCATTACAAGTGTTTAGCTCAAGTGTCTAGAGTAATAAATATGATTGATAGATTGTGGAGAGATTTGAAGGCATTAAAATATGCAATTTATAGAAAGATATGAATTTGAGTAAAATCTTTATTTTCTAAAATATAAATTACACAGAACATTGTAAAATGTAATACGTGGGTGACTACAAAAGCTCACTCCTGTGAGCAAATCATCTATTTATGCAAAGATACATTTACTATCTACCATTTCAAAGCTTTTTGATGTTCCTTCATTTTAAATAAAAAAATCCTACATACCAACATCTTGGGCAAAAGCTGTTGTCTTAGACAGGTTAAGATCTCATCATAGTTGTCTTCAAATACACTAGAAATGACAGCAGATTGTTGAGGAGTTCTGCTCATTAGCCACCCTGTAATATACATGTACATGTGCATTTATTAGATTAAGATCTCATCATAGTTGTCTTCAAATACACTAGAAATGACAGCAGATTGTTGAGGAGTTCTGCTCATTAGCCACCCTGTAATATACATGTACATGTGCATTTATTAGATTAAGATCTCATCATAGTTGTCTTCAAATACACTAGAAATGACAGCAGATTGTTGAGGAGTTCTGCTCATTAGCCACCCTGTAATATACATGTACATGTGCATTTATTAGATTAAGATCTCATCATAGTTGTCTTCAAATACACTAGAAATGACAGCAGATTGTTGAGGTGTTCTGCTCATTAGCCACCCTGTAATATACATGTACAATAAATGATTTACATCTATTAATTAATTAATTCAATGAGTTTAAATGATCTAGATTTTTCTTGCAATTTGCTTAATTCAATTGTAAAATATAACATGTCATTACTTCTTGCTGGTGACATAATATAGAAAAGGATGACCATGCCATCTATCATTTTCAATTGAATGTTAAATTGTCTTCAAAATAATGAAGAGTTTTTATAGTGATCGTGCCATCTATTTAAAATACTGACATCTGCACGATTAAGTGTGTAAATCAAGGTTAACAAGACAAATGTAAACTGTCTGAAAGTGTAACCATTTGTTACAGAAACAAGCACTGACCAACGAAGAATGGACACAAAAATGGAAGCTGTAACAATATGGTGGTGACATAAAAAGTATTTTGGAAATATTGGAACAATCATGATGTTACATTTCTCCCCATATGGCATCATTACAATTTTTTAAGATAACTTACCCTGTAGAATTGGTTTCCAGTCCAGAGCTGAGCTACTCATGAACACCATTCCATTCCTAGATACTGTAGCAGGACTAGCATTGTCTATGTTATGTACTTCAAATATGATCTGAAAGGTGAATCCAAAATGTGTGTCATGTATACCAAAAAGTATTTTCTTTAGTAAATGATCCTTCAAATTGATTTCAGTACCATCACTATATCTGTGATGGCACAAACATATCAACACAGAATATTGATATGATTTCATGTAATATCAATGTAATATTAAGTATGTTTTTGAAACCCATATGTATTATAATCTAATTTGGGAAAAATTGAGAACTAAAACAAGAGACTGATTTTGAATTGTTTGTTAATAAATTCAACTAAATTCAGTAACTGTAAAATGAACCTCTGTACGTGAAACACCTCTATAAGTGGAACACATTTTGGATTCCAAAGGTGTTCCACTTAAACAAGCTTAACTGAATGCAATTATACGTACCTTGCAGTTTGGTGCCATGGGGATCCTATCACCATTAGCCAAAGTCAGAGTCTTGTTGTCATCAAGTACAGAGTTGAGATTCTCAATCCAAATAGCATCTACAGGTCCATCCAGTACTAGCCAGATGTGTTCTCCCTTCTTAGACTTTAGGGTTTTACGCCAAAGTGTTGAGAATATTCCATCTGTCCAATCATTTGTTGCAACATCCAACCTTTAAATCATGATAAATGTTAATAAGCTAAATTCAAAGTTCAAATTGTAATGATATAAAAGAGCAGTGCATTCACATGTCTAGTAAGTTACAGAGAAACAATTCCCTGCCCCAAGTCCAAGGTGTTGAATTATAATTTCATTTCCTTGTTCTTTTTTTATTCAAGGCTTGAAAATAATCAATGATAAATTCATGTTTTTTTTCAACCTGATCAACATCTGACACATTATTATATGTTTTGAAGGAATATTACAAACAAGGAGACACATGAGGGAGACATACCTGCCAAACATCTGGGGTGCTGTAATAGCTTTGGGGTTCATTCTCATCTCTCTATGTGGTGTCCCTGTGTCTGTCATAGACTTCATCAGGACACTGATACACTTTGTCTTTCCTGCAAGACATAACATAGACATTTTTTATTAATATTGGAATAACAAACAAAAAGAATAAACAAGATGTGTTATTAATGTGTAAAACTGAGTAGAAAGAAAAACCATATCTAATTATTCTTAATGGTAAAACAGAATTTGCTGCTACTGCTGAAAATTATCATGGTTTATTTCAAGATTTTTTTTCATTTTCTGAACATTATCTGAAATAACAGCAAATAATGTACCTGCTCCACTTGGTCCTAAAGTCATCATTCCATGTCTGACTCTCTGTGTCTCAAACAACTGGATCAGTTTAAGTACCCATGGTGGATGGTTAATAAGTCCATGCTCTTGTACCTGGTGATCTATAGCAGATTCTAACTCAGGATATCTAGGTGAGAAGGGTCATTGAAAATAAATGAGATGGCAGTGTCGGTGTCAGTTATTGAATTGTATCATCACATGAGTTTGCGATATGGAACTATTTTAAACATAATTGTGAATAGAATTAAGCAAGACAAGCTTAAAATTATCCCTGTAAGAAGCTACATGCTGCAGTTGGTAAGAATTCACATATTTTGTAATTCATTTTCCGCACTATGAATATACACCATCTAAAGGTGTTGCTTCATTTTATCTATGTGCTCTTCAGTTATTAATAAATATAAACACATTAAAGTTCATACCCAGCTTTATCCAGTGTCATTCCTGGGAAAAGATCATCAATGAGAGACATGAACAATGGTTCATCCTCATCGACCAACTTTGACAGGTTCATATCACGCAGGATACGCATCATAATGGACTGCTCCGTGTCATTGGGGTTGCCACGTTTGAAAGCTCCCAGGGTTCTCAGCACGGACAGGATGTTACGGAGACCAAAGTCATAATGGACTTGCTTTGTCAACTGCTCCTCACAGAGTTTATAGAGAGTGAAGAATTTCTTTGATAATGCCTGAATTTGAAAAAATGTGAGAATATCTGAAATGTGGATCACATCAAGGGAGGAATGTAATGAATTAATAATATTCAAAATATCAACCTCAATGGGGTAAATACTTTTAAAGGGAAAGGGACTAGCTTTGACACCATTTTGTTACATTTGGGAGTACATTCGTAATATCAACATATGTGTTTCATGAGGGTTATGTTTTTTACATCAATTTTTTCAAACTAAACACGGGGAAATCAAGCTTTTCCGGTGCTCCTGGTTAACAACAATTACCCCACCTTTTAAAGTAACTTTACCCTATGATGTAATAATTTCACCATGGTACTTACCACATTCTGTTGGAAACCACAGCTAGCCAACTTAACCCTCATGATGATCTGTCTGTCAGGTACCATCATAGCACATGTTCTGAAGTTGATCTTCAAGTTCTCTGGGAGCTCCTGACGTCCAGCGTACCCAGGGTTCTAAAGGAGGAAAATGATTAAAAAAATAAAAAATAAATAATATTGTGAAACATGAATACAGTATGAAAAGTTATTTCATTGTATATTTCAATGTGAACATAGTGAGATACATCGTTTTAGTCATTATACAAGAAATTAAATGGACACTGGCAAGCTAGTCTTGGATCAAGGCTCTGGAACACCCTCCAGATCTACTTCACAAAGTCAAAAGGGCTTGAAGAAAGACCATGTATATGAAGCATCTTGTTCAAAGTTGTTTAACACACATATTGGTAATGGGTCTTATATATTTACCATGGTCAAGAAGAGACCAAACTCTGGGTCCATACTGACAACATCACCATCAGTGAATATGAACTGATTTTTCCTTTCCTTCTTGCATGTTAAAACGATGGCAATCTGTTGGGCTGCCACTGATAACACAGGCAAGTCTATACGATTGAACTCATCAAAGCAACCCCAAGCTCCAGACTGAGCAAGACCTGTCAATCGAAATAAAAATTTGATAATTTGCTATATGGACAATACAGGCACATATCAATACCTAAAATCAATAGCTAAACAATAGTGATACAATATACAATTCTGAAATTACCAGTTGTACTGCAATTAAATCAAAGCTTCATTTTCTGAAACCAAACTCCAACCAAATTAAATGATAAAATATTAATTTCAATTTAGATATATCTACAGCAAGACCCTCCCCCCTCATTTTATAAACCCCTTACCTTTATAGATTCTTCCTAGACCTCTGAAGTCCATCTGATCAGAGCAGTTGAACACAACAACATATTTGCCAAGACATCTACCCATGTCCTTGGTTGTCTCTGTCTTGCCAGTTCCTGCAGGTCCTGCGGGTGCAGCACCCAAGGACATACTCAGGGCCTGAGACACTGTGATATAGCATCTATAAGAAATCAACAATTTATGACCATTTGTAAAAATTGGATACTTGTATAACTTGTTTTAAATATAGCATCTGTAATACACGTATATTGTGTGATTAATGATTGCAATTTGAGAATAAATTGGAGAGGTTATGATTTGCTGAAAGGAAAGTTTTTAGACAAAAAAATCATTTATCATAATTGAAATGATTAAAGTATTTTTTTGTACACAGTACTAGCCTTTAAACTTGACCTTATGTCTGATTAAAGGGCTGCAATCAAAAATCTAGTGAAATAAATTACTCAAAAATTATTGAGACCTGGACTAAAAAGTCTGTCAGTACAATACTTGTCAGTCAAATGTGTAATGACAAGTCTATCAGTACATACCTGTCAGTCAAAGGAGTGATGACAAGTCTGTCAGTACATACCTGTCAGTCAAAGGAGTGATGACAAGTCTGTCAGTACATACCTGTCAGTCAAAGGAGCGATGACAAGTCTGCCAGTACATACCTGTCAGTCAAAGGAGTGATGACAAGTCTGCCAGTACATACCTGTCAGTCAATGGAGCAATGACAAGTCTCCCAGTACATACCTGTCAGTCAAAGATGTGATGACAAGTCTGTCAGTACATACCTGTCAGTCAAAGGAGTGATGACAAGTCTGTCAGTACATACATGTCAGTCAAAGGAGTGATGACAAGTCTGTCAGTACATACATGTCAGTCAAAGGAGTGATGACAAGTCTGTCAGTACATACCTGTCAGTCAAAGGAGTGATGACAAGTCTCTCGGTACATACCTGTCAGTCAAAGGAGTGATGACAAGTCTGTCAGTACACCCAAGGAACTCATTCTGGTAGCTGAAGTCAACATCTGTAATGCTAATGAGGCAAGTGTCTGTGTCTTCCTTGAAGTAGAACCTTGACTGCTTCAACCATTCAAAGTCATTCACAGACTTGATGTGCATCTTCAGCTGAAAAAATAAACATTGTTAAATGTAGTAGGATCTAAATTGTATCTACATATGTTCATGCTTATAGACATCCTATTTTTGAAAGAAAATTTTGCCTGGTATACAATTTGTAAAAAACTCACAGATTCAAATTTGCATGAGTGACATGTTCTAAAATCAATTGAAGAAAAGCAAAACCTTTTAAAAATGCAAGAAAAATTCCAAATTAAAAATGCAATGCTATACAAAAATGGCATAGATGAATACAAACGAAGATTCAGAAATATTCTTTCACTTACCAGATCATCAAAGATATCCTTTTGATGGACATGAATGGTGACAAGTGTCTCAAACTTTGTTCTCTCCATCTTCGTCAGCTCTGTAGTTGTCATGTCAATGAGGTCATTCAGGATGTCTCTGAACTTCTCTGCAGTTGTCTGCATCACTTTCTTGTCAACCCTGGCACTCTGGAGTGCAGTCTCTGCATCCCTAGTCCACAGCATCTGGATACCTAATAGACCCACCTATAGAAAAAGATAACAATAAATGGTTTATAAAGAAGAAAACACAAATATTGAGATACCAATGAGCTTTGACCACAGTAGCTAGTGGACAATTTGAAAGTAATTAGTCCATTATGATATAGACCTACCCACCCATAGGAAATGGTAAAATGAAAAGGTTGATAAAGAAATATAAGTATTAAGACACTTGTATTAATATAGGGACTCATGCTTTTAATAAAATATATTGTTTGTGTAAGGGTGTTTGACATCAATTTCTATTATCAAATACCAAAAATTTATAAAATATTTGCCATCAGGGGGACATACCTGTGCTGGGAACATGTTTTCAAACTCCATCAGTTTGAAGCTTGGGTCTTGGATTGTAACAGAGGCAGTTCTGATGATGCCATGGACAGATTTTCTGGACTCTGCAAGGAGATCTCCCAACCACTGTTCAACGTTGCCCTGAAATATAAAATAAATGCAAAAACATAACCGAAGGAAATACGGCAAAAAATATCTTAGAATATCATTGGAATGAAAATCATGATTTCACTTTCCCAAAAAATCAGGTCCTGCTTTGTCAACTTTGACCCAAAATCATTCAGAATGGTGAAAAACTGCATGCTTTTGATAATTTTTTTACCAAGGCAAGAATGGCCCGAACCCCCCCCCCACCTTGGCTATGGCTATAGGCCTAGACGCAGTTGCAATGTTTTAAAAAAATTCTTCCTGTATGTTGATGCATCAACATTTTGTCGAATGGAACTTTGCAAAGATAAATTTCATAAATTTGAAATCTAGAGTGTTTGCTTTCGAAATCAAACTAAATATTAATAATTAACAACCTGAAGTCAAACCTATCAATCGCCACACTAATTTACAAACAATTGACATAAAATTGGTCATACATACTTCAAAACATCATCAATAATTCCACTTGATAAGATATAAACACTCATACTTGACAAAGTGGCAAGCTATTAGAATGTAAAGAGATATATATTACAGTCAAAAAGTGTGTATGGAGGGTAAAGTGGTTTTAAATTGTTCACTACATGTTTATATTCAATAGACAAGATTATTGCATGCACTTTTAATATTCAACTATTAAAACTTTGCACTGACTCCATTTGTCACTGGGACTACTGATTACTTTTAATGAATAAAACTGAATAAAAAAATGTTTTACTGGCCAAAATTGTTCAGATTAGCAGGTGTTCACATTTCAAGTTTTTTATTAACATGTAAGTCAATGGGAGAAAATAATTTTGGGACCCAGAAAAAGTGTTCCCATTGAAAGGTGTTCTGATTAGAGATATTTGGATCAACAGGTTTCACTGTACCATTGTATACATAGCAGATAGCACATACTGTAGTGTGTTTAAAAGGCCCTTACCTGTGCCATTACAAAGTTCTCAAGGTCCACTTTCTCTCCCTCCTGAGACACCACAGCCAATATCTGGTCATAGTTCTTCTCATGGAATACCACATTCTTTGTGTTGTCAAACACACTCAGTAAGTGAGCCTGAAATTTAAAGATGGGGTATGGTACACCTGAGCAAAATGTTCCAAAATGTTACTTTTCCATTTATTTTTAATCAATAGTACACCAAGACAAAATAACATGAATTAAGGTAAAGTTTTTTTCTTCCTTTCCTTAAATGAACTAAATTAAGACCAACTATTTTCTGTCAATAAAAGATTACCTGGATCGTGTGAGAGTCACTGGCCTGTCCAAGAATCTCAAGTAAAGCAGGGTCGGAAACAAAGAAAAATCTTGGGAAGATCAAGCGTTTCTTCTCAAGGTATCCTGTCAGAGACTTCTGACAGACCTCCAGTTGCTCCAATAGATGGGGTAACAGTTGTGACAGAGTGTCATCACCAACGCAACATTGTACAACATTTGTGGTCTCATGGGCCCTCCCCATAATCTTAATCCATGATTTGTCAATATTTTGGAACCGCTTGGCTTCCTGGAATCAAAAGCCATATTGTTGTGCATTAACATGACTCAAAGAATTGATAAAATTTCAATTCTTAGGTTATTATTATGACAGTTGTATTCTGTAAATGTGCTCAATTGATAAGTATAAAATTATCAAGTTCTTGGTTTTAAACCTTCTCCTTGAACAACAATAGAAGTCATTTGAGAAAAGCATACCACATTTTCTCACCTTATAACCACTGAGAGGGTTACACAATGGTATAATAGCACAATACTTGTCAGAAAAAGAAACAGGTGCGTACCTGTGGTAATTGTTTGGCAATGTCTCCACCCACAAATACAGCCTCGAGATATATCCAGAGATTCTGTACAATCAACCAATTCTCAATGATCTCTGTGGTGCCAGTTAGCTTCTGGACCCATTCCTGGATCTTGGGCTTGAAGGGGGCATTGTAACGATTGCTCAATAATGAGCCCAAGATCATTAAACTGTCCTCCATCAATGCAACAGTCTCACCAGTTGTGTCACCTGCAATAGAACATGAACATTTTGAAAAAAATGTTGAAATGGAAAAACTGAAAATATTAACCATGCAGGCCTAATGATACTGTGTGCTTGTTGGTATCATAAATATGGCCTTGGGGTCAGTAATAGGATCAGCTCAAAGAGGAGCTTCAAATGCTAATGGTATGTCTGCTTTGTACCTGTGAAAATGCTTGCTCTCTATATTGCATGTCCTATCTTTTCTAGTAGGCAGAAAACTGTAATAGCTTTACATAAAAATTAAGTTCCTTTTCCATTTGACAGAAAACAGAAAAAGCAGAAAAACAAATGGAATCCACTAGCAATCAAACTGAGTTTATGATTTTACATTCACATGAGTCATATAATAAAAACACACAGTGTATATGAAACACTTACATGTACAACTAAAAGAAGATTGAAGTTACCTTTAAGAAGTAGTTCTCCTCGTGTTTTGAATGGAGCGAACTGGAAGGTCTGAGCACTCCAGTCATTGACCACAGCCTTTAGCTTGGCTTCAATGTCCTTCTCTTTCACAGCAGAGATACAGATATCCTAAAACCCATAAAACATTATGATTATGGTGTATGAGCCATACAAGTTATTTGATGGACAGAATAGGGAGGTTTGCATATTCTAGTCATTAGTCTTTAGCTTGACTTTTGGCATTCTCTTTTACAGCTGATATACAGATACACATGAAAGACAGAGCAATTATGTTCACCATTACTCATTTGTTAATGTTGTGTAAAACATTTCTCACTTTATATTATTTGTTGCGAGTAATGCCTCAGTCACAAACACTGCACAGCAGCTCCAGGTTTTCTGTCTCCACTAGGCCTATCTCAAAATATGCAATGTGGCTAACCTAGCATGTGTGACTGGGGGAATACTGCAGTGGACCTATTATTACTATTGGCTGTAGATATCTTAGACCCCACAGCCTATGAGGCCAATTTGACTGAGGCTTTAGGATACAATACTATTACACATTTTACCTCTATATCTTCTTTATTCTTCAACAATGGAGCCTCCATGAGATTCCTCAGTAGGAAATTGTCAGAATCGACATCAAAGGTGTGTCCTGTTAGGACAGACATTCTATCCCAATGACGTGTTTGCATTGCTTTGTTCGCCATCATCTCCAATAGGGGGCAGGTCTCATTGAAATCATCAATCGTCTTACGTAGCTCCTCGTATGCTTGCCATTCTTTCAATGCTTTAGGCAGCTTACGGCATCTAAATTAATATGATAATAAAATATATAGTTTTCAAGGATATTCTAGATATAAGGGAGTTTAAGCTTGCAATGTTTTTCACAACCTAACTTGAATGGAAAATATTTAAGCGATGCATTTGTATGGGCGATTGTTTATAAGTATAGGTTGGCGTTTCAATTTTATATGCAAGCTTAAACTCCCTAGTAAATTCAAATATTACCTCTATTGGGTGAAAAGTTAATTTTTTTTAGTTATTTTAATGTCACTTAAACTTTAATAAGAGGGAGGTGGGTTTGATTTTTCTTTAAATTACTTTTGTGAAAAATTGATATTTTGTCATGCAAGATACATGTATGGTAAGATGAACTTGTGTACTATTCATTGGATGTTATTCAAATAATCAACTTATCTCGTGAGACTCAATCTTAATATCTTTTGCTCACCTATTCTGGAATTCAACGAGTTCCAGATTGATCTGATCAATGTCTATTTCTGCCCAATGTATATCAAAGTAGCCATTAACATTCTGCAGGACTGCATTGTATAGTGAGTACAGCTTTTGAAGTAGGTTCAACTCCTTGCGAATTTTCTGAAGCTCTGGGTATTCCGTGACAGGAAGTCCAAAAAGCTCTTCACCCCCAGAGTATGTCTGGTATTTACGCCAGAGTTCATCAAAGCGGGCCTGGTATAAGGTTAGTCGATCTGAGGCCTCCCTAGGGATTATACCATCCTCCATTGGTCCCCTGAAAATATGATGAATAAATAAGTATATATGTGACATTTTCTTATTTGTTAATTTCAATCTTATGGGGAGCAACATATAAATATTCCATTCTATAAGCCAATTTGTGAATTGATAAGAATATATAAGCTTCACTGCAAACACATTTTTGATTACAGATACAAACCAAAAAATATTGGGCATATAAAGGTATACACTTATAAATAAAACAATATCGCTCAAAATCATTATATCACTACGTATACTCTTAACATCTAATAGATAAAGTACAGTAGTTACTTTTTGTTGTAGTCATCCACAAATGCATTGACATCATCCATAAACTGTATGACGCCATCCAGCAGATTGGACTTGAACTTTGGCTGGATGGTAATGAGATTGTCTTGTACCTCCAAAACCTGCAATCACAAAACATAAGAATGGTTTAAATTCAATTCTTCCAGCAAGGAAGCAGGACAGATATAACACTGACAGTTGACCAATTAGAGAAGTCTACAACAACATGGAATTAACATGCAAAATATCACCACCTGCCATAAATTACAAACCGAACGCCAACTGTTGACTGATGTCCACAAAAAAATTAGAGATGTCATAAAAACTAACAGGAAATACACTAAACTGCACAGTCAGCAGTCAAAAAGATTGAATAATCCCCTGACCAACCAAATCCAGTTTCATTTAAGCTACTACAGGATATTGCATAATAATCTTGCTTACCAAAGTACAAAGCTTCTTCCAGTTGTAGGACATTGTGTCCACCCTCTCAGCACTTTCCCTGTCCTTGATGGACAATTGATATCTCTGCATAACAATAAAGGCCTCTTCTATGGGAGTGATGGTCATTTGGATACGTATCTCATTCTGACGAATCTCAGTCAGTGACGCCATCTGAGCTCTGACATCATCGAGATCGTTGATTGGTCGACTGAGACGCTTCATCAGATTATCTGTGAATTCGAGAACTTCGTCCATTTCATGTACACATTTATCGTTGAGAGCGTTGCCAAATTGGTTCACCCAGTTATTCACTTCAGCAATAAGGGAAACTTTGATGGAGTCTGTCATGAAGACTACAGAGCCAACACGGAAGCTGGGCTGGATTTCCTCTAAATCATCACGGATATTCTAAAAAAACAATATCATTTTCAAACTGTTATATTCAAATTTCAATAAAATCTGGTCAAAAAAGCAAAATATGATAACTGATTAAGAAATGTAGGCAGTAAAAAAAATTTCATAAAATTGCCTTTTTTAATGATTGGCAAATGCTCTTCACAAAATGGGCTCAAAAGAATTGGTTAATTAAATCATGTTACCTTCTAACAAATTAATAAACAGCAAAATTAATGAATGAATACCTACCAAGTAATACTTGATTTGTTCTTCAAACTCTGACAATATTGGATTTGTTTCTAAGAATTCTCTAATTTTCTCAGAAGCCTCCTGGAATATTATGCAAAATTGGTTTAACATGTATAAAGGAATAAACTAACAAGCATATTACTCTAAGTTGCTAAAAAATGCCATATTGTGGTTGATCACAAAGCTTAATAAACTTCAGCCACAATCTATCAATTACCATGACTATGATCATTGCCAAAGATTCCCCAAGACCAAATTAATTAGTACAATGAAAATGTCTTTCTCTACAACCTAAGTATTTCCTTATATCTCACTGAAATTAAAACCTAAATCCTACCTCGTTCCAAATTTTGGAGAAAACAGTGAAATGCTCCATGACCTCATTGACCTCGAGCTTAAAGGTGCTGATGATGGAGTTGAGCTGAATGACGATCTTAGTGACATCTTTGTGCTCAGCAATCATCTTGTGGAGTGGCTTGATCAGAGATTGGGGGATGATCTTCGTTGTTGTAGTATCAGTTTCATTTTTATCATCAGTAGCCTCAAGCTCCTAAAATGGTGTAAAATATATTTCTACTTTATCCTATTTGCTTAATATGGTTTCTATGATGTGTAGTTTCAAATAAACATTGTTGATGTATTGCTACAAATTGAACAGGAAACTTAATCTGGTGGATGGCATCATAGAACATTAACTCATTGCTGGCCAAAGATATTTTTGGAGGTTTTCTGCTGGTGAAAATTGCACATTTTCACATAAGCATAAAATGGACTGTATCAACACCCTATGCGCTACATTTTATGTCATTTGTGAAGTCAATGACAATATATTTCAATTTCACCGAAACCATGTTCCCCTAGTAACCCCTACAATATTTGGTAAGATAATTGGTATAGATTATGTGATAATTATTGGACAGAACCCTGAGAAATCTCAGGGTTGGTCAGATACGATTATGACGTCATATACAAAAAAATATCTCGGGGTTGGTCAGCAATGAGTTACGTGAAAATCCTTTTTTGCATCATGAGCAGTTGTAATGTAATGTTGCCATTACTGCATTATCATTACTACTTCCTGGAAAAATTTCTCATAATTTCTCTGTGATTTCTTTTACCATACAACCTTTTTCATATATGTATTGGTAACTGATATAAGCCTTGTAAGACTGAGAGTCCTTTCACAGATACCAGTGATAAAACCATATCATACCATCAGTTTCCTCGTAGTATCAAACCTTAAAAATGAGCAAGGGCCTACATCAATTCAATCAGGTCCCTCAATGAGTGAATGATACTGCAAGCAAACTCACAATTTGATGGGGTCTGATTTGATGCATGCATATTTCTTGATTATACACATAGTAGTAGACATTTTCTATAGAGCAATCTACATAGCTTCAATCGTAACCAAACAGATGAAGAATGAGAGAGGGGGTATTCTTATCAAATAGCCTGTATATCACAATATTCAGTTTGTAAACATATCTACTAATGTACACAGTATACAACACAGATGTACAACATTAAAGGGATAAAATACAAAGGGACAACAAAGGAAAGAAATTTTTTTTTTTAAATTTATATTACTGTGGAATTGAATCTTTTATAAAGTTATTAAACATTGAAAAATATCCCAAATCAATTATTTATTCGGTACTTCAGAAGTACATCTAATCAAAATCAATAGGAACAATCACATCTATATACTGTAGATACACTTAATTTGGCTACCCTTTTAATTTGATGGATTGGTGGATTGAAAAAATCCACCAAATTAAAAATCCGCCAATTTTCAGATCTATTTTGGAAAATCCCCAGGGAATTTGTAATTTGCAATTATTTCACTTGTGTAAGTATTCCTATTTGGATACCAAGACTTACTGTAAGTAAAACACATGAATCTGAAAAGTTCATTACCAGATCAATGATAAAACTTGAGCTCTCCGCCAAATTAAATAGCCACCAATATTTGAAATTGACCAAATCCGCCAAATTAAGTGTATCTACAGTAGGCAATTTTTAAATCAAATATTGAATATATATTTGTGACTCGAGATGGTAAAATATAAAGAAAAATAAAACATTACACTAAAAAAGAAGATTACATCCTAAATAAGATTTTTTATACATATAGAGGGTAAAATGATAATGAATCACTTCAAGATTTTCATTTTAAAATTGGACAAATTAGTCCAAACGTGGACATGAGATAAGAATTCATTTTCTTTCCCCTCAAAATGCATTCAAAATCTTATAAGCAGATTAAAAATTATGAATTTCAATTCATGAAATAAAATTTCGATCATACAATGGCAAAATGTAAGACAATTCAGGAATCACAATTCACAATATCTACATATGAACAGATCCTAAAGGTAAAATAGAAAAATAGAAATGCTACTAATTGTTAGCAACTAATTAAGATATGAGAGATAATTATACCTCTATCCCTTCTGCCTCCATCCAGTTCTGTGCAGAGAAAATAGAACATTAGAAAGTGCAATATATGACCTGAACAATATACGAGTACAGTAGTCTCTGATAGGGTGTGGGCATAAGCATCGCTTCAGAGATCTGGAGCCAGTTAGTTTAAATTCAAAGTGGGCTGATTTTTTCAGCATGTATGGGAGCTAACATGGCAACATGTACAGTATTAAAATGAGAAATTACAAACATTTTTATGACACACCCTGACCTCTTAGAGGAATGGTCAATTTTTTATTTTACTCAAGTACAATATATATATACAATATATATCCTTAAGCCAGCAACAAACATTTCCCTCATCAAAACTTTATGGACTTATATTGTTCAAGTCCAATTTACTTTTAAAGTGTTACTCATGTAAGAATGAGATACTTAGAGTGTCCTAGCCTAAAATATTTAGTCAACTCAGAACATGTACATGTAGTTCTTTTTGTATCTCATTTAAATACATTACTACAATGTTAATTATAATCAATATTCTTGTATTGTATGAATGTATCTCAAATCACCAAAAAGTTGTTTTTTAAAAGTTCTAAAGCTAATTTTCTACCAGTGTCAGTGCAAGGACTTATTAATAGTGTCAAATCAAGTTTCAGAACTAATTTTAAATCATAATCCACTCTTAGACTAGACCACCACCCAAACAAACCCTTTAAAGACACAGATTTGCAAAATTGTTCAATAGAGGTAATTTTCAGGTATTCACATAAAGTCAATGAAAAAGCCTCTTCCCCTGGTGTCAATTTCACCTAAAGTCAGGATCCATAAATCAATTGTTCTTTCTCAATTTCACCAAACATCATAAATCAATTGTCAATCATACAAAACATTTTCAAAATAGACAACCTACAAGTTGAAGATATAGACCCCAGGCCCAACCACCAAAGGAATTATATATAGGGATTTATTCAATCTGTATGAGACAGTGCCTTATCAAATTGAAAGTTGAGAGAATTAATAAGAAAACCTAAAAATAGACAACTAGAATCCAGATCTGTAACTTATTGGGAGAAATAGACCCCAGGCCCATTCACCGTATAAAGTCATTATATAACTCAATCTGTATGAGAGAGTGCATTAAAAGATTCAGAGTTGAGAGAATAAAACACTGTACCTTAATTTGCTGTTTCTGTTGCAGAACCTGATGTTTCCACTGTGGAATATTACAGGACATTTTCAGGATGCACTGGACTGACTTATTGACACATCCTTGTATATCTTCAAGGGAAGGTCTCATCACGACATTAGGGATGGCAAGCACAATATCAGCCTTAAACATTGGTGGCTTGGAGTCAATGCTGTCGGTCTTGTCTGAGATGTACTTGTTGGATGTCTGAAGTCGACGCTTTATGGCATCAAGTGACAAGCGGGTCGCTAAAAAGATTTATATCACAGAAGTTGAAAAATTTAACATGATGTTTTACTAAACATATTGTAGTTATACATAAAGAAAGGTCAAGACACAACTGTAAACTGCATCAAGATATGATGATCTACCCCCAAGTAATGGTATGGGTCGAGGTAAATAAAAGAAATTTAGAAAATTTACTACTACAATCAATCATTTATTTTCACATTTATGTACACAAATAGGTTTCAATGACTATTGAGTATTGATTGACTATGTATTAAAAAGGATGATTCAACAAGATGTTTCTTCAACAGAATATATACACCACCCTAGTAACCTCATTATGACATCACAGGCATCAAACAAACGCAAAACTTACATTTAATCAGAGCATCAGTGTTTCTCTGTGTGAAATTATTCAGGAGTGTATAGTAGCTACATGGCTGACACTCCAGACATCTCTGCTTCTTATGTTTAGAGTCAGGGTGTATGCATGTATATCCCTCCTCTGCAGACAGATTCACCTGATCTTTCTCATCAATGTGAGACTTGAATGTATGAATGAGGTCATTCATTGCTTTCTCTACCAGTTGGCTTTGTCTGGAATAATATGAAACAGTGACATAATCCATTTTTTATTTTTATGATCTTTTAGTTTTCCTAGGGGCTCCATTTTCCCAATTTTACAAGTTTTTCTATTTCAAAATACAAATTAGGCCAGGAATTCTTAAAAGATTTGGGTTAAAATTTTTGAAAAAGATATGACATGTGGTCATATTGCAGATTTAGGGTCATTCAGGTCCCAATCCAATCATGTCATGGACCAAAAGTAATAAATGAACTATAAGTGTCCAATGTACTAAAAGTTCACTTTGTAACACAAATGACTAAGTTGTACATACTTGGAGAGTTTCTCTGATGCAAACTCCACAGCCTCATCTGTCATGGCTAAGAACTGTGAGACAGTCACAGGGTCTTCCTCTGGGAGTTCGCAGAGTGGGGTCAAGGACATATCCTCCAAGACAGCATCAATCCTGCACTCCAAGATGTCAGAGGTTTGTTTCACCACATTCTCAACATTTGCAATGATCTTGTAGATGTTCTTCACGTCTGAAAAAATCACATAAAAGACTGTTGTAGATGCCTGAATTTTGGGAAAAACAATCTGAAGATTGCAGCTAGTCTCAGTCACATATGCTCTGCAGCAGCGGTGAAAATCTGCTTATCCCAATATTTTATGCTGCATATTTCTCTCGAATTTGGTAAGCCAAGGCCACCGTATGGTTGCTGCAGATCAAATGTGACTGAGGCATAAAGAAAAATTGGAAAAATTATAATTTTTATTTCAGACCTTAATCTTCATCAAGCAAACTGGATACTGTAGTCTAAATAGAAAGAGAGGTTCTTACATGTGTCTACATTGAGAGAGGTCCAGCTTAGAGAGGTGAGACCAGGTTTCATTGCCTCAAGGATCCTGTTCTTGTATGGGTCCATAAGGGGCATCAACAGGGGTGGCACAGTGTCCAGGATCCTGTTATACTCCTTCAACAACTCAGTCAATCTGCATAAAAACATAATAAACATGTGAATATGAATAAATGTAAGCAATGCCATGATATGAACATATAAGTTTAATAGAGTAGTTGCTCAATTTGTATGTACAGTATATGTAATATTTTATTTAATTAATTACAATACATTAACTTACATAATCTATTTTTCAAATATGACTGCTCAAATTGGGAGGTGTACACATTTCAACCTTTTTACATATGAATCAGGAGAAGATGGCAATGAAAAGTATTAATAAACACTTACCCTACATAAGTAGTTTTAATCTGATCCTCCTTGACACAGATTATAACTGCTGTTTCTGGAATCTCAAGGTTCAGCCTCTTAAGATGCTTGGCTTCTTGAATAAGTTCCAAGATCTGTGGGTCAAAGTTCACAAAGATTTCCTTTGTTTCAGGGTGCTTGACAAGCAAAGAGGCATTCAGCCCACTCTTAGCAGCATCTACAGCCCTGAACCAGCCTCTATGATACAGCATCTAAACAAAACAAATCACACATATTAACAAGGCATGCAAAATGTCACCAACTGCCAATTTTTACAGATTCAGAACACCAAACACTGACCACTGGATGCCAAACACCAACCACAATCCACACAAAAGATGTGGTGGTGACATAACAAGTATGATGAACATTGTTTAAAAATCCAAGTTCTACTGCAGACAAGAATTAGACTTATTTGTTGCTATGACTAATATCATTGATTGTAAGCAATATAACATTTATATGTTTTACGCATGAGAGGGACTATAATTAAAAAAGCAATTTAGATCTGCATGTATCTCTGATTTTACCATGAGGTTTTAAATTTTAATCCAATTTTTAGCATGAAACATACCTCAAACTCCATCAGTACTGCAGCCATTTTGTTGTAATTACGGACTATTTTCTTGGCTTCACTGCTCTGTAATATAAGAATACAAAAATATGATATAAATAATCAAAATAAACAAAAATGAAATTGACACATTTGAAATTACTCAATGGTTGTACAGCTCTTTTTTATACGGGTTTGAATTGATTAAACCTGTTTCCTTTTTATATTCAAATGAAAGTCACATATAAAATGCCCAAAAAATCATTAATCTATTGAAATAACTAATGGCATCAAGATACCCTACTTTTATATTACATGTACATGTATGTTGATTCTGAATATGAAAATATAACTCTATCATGGTGGACTGAAACAAATATAAGTAAAGACCTACTCTCAAGAATTCACTTTTCTTTTTGAAGATTTTCATTGGTGACTCTATACGCCTGTACAGCTGACGTGCCCATGCTATTTTTCCCGCAACTGGTGGCAGATTTCTGGCAATAGGGGGCTCTGACTTACTCTTCTGGTAGATCTTACGGACAGCCTCAAGGTCTTTACCGTAATCATGAAGAATTTTGTTGTACTTTTCACTCAGATCAAGCTGTGCTCCAATCTTCTCGAATTTCTCCAATAGCTGCAGAGCTTTGTCAATCTGGAAAATGTATAATAGACTGTTTGACATATATCACTCAATGGCACAGGACATACAGAATATGTTGGAAATAAGCATAATAGGGAAGAACCAGGGATAAAGAAAATTAGAATATATAGCATACATACATACAGAATATTACATACAGAAAATAGTGTAGAAATTACACAAAATAAAGTATCTAAAACATGAAACTGACATCAAAACATTAATGATGTACACTGTTCATAACATTAAAGCCACTTACCGATAATGATTTTTCGAACCACATGTCTACGAAGCTTTGTATCTGGTTTTGTAGGCCTTTGATCTGGTTCTTGAACTCCAGGTAGTCATTATCAAACTGTAATAAAGTATATCATATTTTGATAAAATATCTACAACTGATACTGATCATAAACAAAAATTCATCAATTGGTGAAGAAATATGATAACAATGTACAAATACTTTGAAAGTCCGAAACTATTGAATTTTAGGAGATCAAATACAATAATTCATTTACACATTACGAATTTTGACAATTTTAATCTTAAAATCCTTGTGATATAATATATACTCACATCTCCCTTGCGATGATCCAGAATATCATAGCTCTTCTTCTTGGTTGCATCCACAATGGTCTTGAAGCGTACAGCAATAGTTTCAATCCCTTCAATACGCACCTCTCCTAGGCCAGAGAAATGTTCCATTGTGTTCACCATATCAGAGATCTTCTCCAGACGCTGACAGAATGTGTCAAACTTTCCAAAGATGTAGTTCTCACTGTAATTATATAAGAATAGCCCTGAATACAAATGATGTCACTATATAGTACTATCATGTCAAAATTTAAAAACTGTTCAGATTTCGATTACCAGAAAGATACCACACCAGTAGCTTGACATTCTACATAAAATATCTAAATTTTAACTTCTTTACAAGATCAAGAAAACAATTATTTTTGACAACTTTAAAAATCTTTTGTCAATGAGAAACATCTACCAATTGAATATTTCACTTTTCTGATATTGAATAAATACAACATGTACAGCTGTATGTATGTGCTGCAATCTAATAACTTCAGTGTATAAGGATAATCTTACCTGAACTCAAACTGGCGTTCTTTAGGGGTGTCCTGAAGTTTCTGTTTGGTTTTCTGGAAACATTTCTGGTACGCCTCATTTAATGTACTGCATTCCTGGAGTCTCCTTAACAGTTCACTCCTGAAGGAGAAAAGTAACATAATCAAAACAAAATTAAATTTGAAAATATAATCCTAAAGGAGACATATTACAAACTGAAATCAATAATTTGAACTACCTAGAATGTTTTTTTTCTAAACCCAGAATGCCAACAGATGATTGACAGACAATGAAAGTAGATGTTTGCATTTCTGTCAAATTATGAAAAATTATTAGTAAAACACTGCTAAAATTTTAATTGAAAAATGTTTTACTTCATAATTTCTGATCCACTGATTCACTGAACAAAGCATAAAAACAGTAAATATACTTTTAAACTGTGATTCAATATCAAATAAGGTGTACTGTCTTATTTTTGTATTGAAAGTCTAAAACCATCAAAACTATTTTACCTTGGGTGTTCCCAAATTTTGGTGACACCTTGCAAGATGTAGGCTTTGCATGTAGTGATCATCTGATTGGTCACTTTAACAAAGAGTGATGTCATGCGCTCCGATGTGTTGTAATACTGTGAAATACTGTAGATCATCCTGATGGCATTCATCAAGCTTGGGATGTGCTCGATCATGGTGGACTGAAAAAAAAAATTTCATTTATTTATTTGTCCGATCACTTAATTTCACTGAGTCTAAGGTTGATTAAGAGTCTAAGATATTAGTGTATAAACAAATATGGTGGTTGTATTGACACAACCTCATTAAAGCTTATTGAACTCTTGTCATAAAAATAATGAAGGGCATGGACATTGTGAAATATTCCCTATGAGCTTTCTTTGTTTGATTAATTACTATCATGAACAACTAGCTATTATTACACTAATGTTCTTGATGTGATCTATTATATTGGCAATGGGCAAAACTAGCAAATAAGCAATATTATTTATAAACACCACACTTACAGGGTTACATTTGACTAGAGGTCCAAAGAACTTATCCAGTGTGTAAAGATATTTCACATTGTCCTTAGCTTCATTTGCAGCATCAGTGATGCGACTGTCCAACTCCCTCCACTTTATGAGAGTCTTTGACTTTGCTGCGTGAAGAATTCCTACAACTACTTTACATCTAGGGGTCTTAATCTGGTCAAGTAAACTGCAAAATGAATACATAATGTGTCATTGTTTTCGAACAAAAATATTTCATGATGTACATTTCACATGAACAATAAATACTCCATGTATATCTTTTATATTAAAGTTCATCTCTGTTACCAACGAGATGGTTTTTGCATAATTTAAAGCTTTATTATGACACCATAATATACAAAAAAATAATCTCAAGTACTGACAAGTGCTGCATATAATTCTTTAAAAATAAGTCAGGGTAATGAAATGGAAGAATCCATTCAAAAGCTGCACTCTAAGCATGGTTACAAGCGGGTCGAGCTTAGGTCTTGAGAGTAGCTGGTCAAAATTGCATTACGAACCAGTTGCCATGTTATTTTCCTACACCTACTGAAAAATCGACCAGTCTGTATCAAAAGTAACATAGCAAATGACCAGTGGACCGGCCACAAGCTCAAGCCCTTTGTTACATGATTCTTTTACTTACTTATTGAACTTTGCCATTCTGTTTTTCCAGTAGGCTAGCTCGGCAGTTGGTCCAATGTCGTCAGCTTCACGTCTCATCTGCTCACTTTCGGCCAAAACCTGTAATGCATTAACCAGAATAAAGTGAACAGGATCATAACCAGCAAGGCATTAACATGCAAAATGTCTGAACTACCTGTCATTTATTACAAATGCTTACTGCCAAACACCAAACACCGAACACCATCAACAAAAACAAGACTAACAATACATGTATATCACCACTTCTAGTGGTCACATAAAAACCTAAATTCTGAAGAAAATAAAAATGCACATACTTAAAATTATGCGCTTTCATGGGTTATACATTTTTCAAATCCTGCTTACCTGTTCGATCTGTTTTGACCAGGTAGTCAAGGTAGCTTCCAGTTTCTCAAGAACGTCAGGGTTATTGGCTGCAATAGAAAAAACATGAAATCTATATTTATGTTTCGGGAACATGTGGAGAAGTGTGATTTATCAATGATAAATGCAAGGAGCTCACATGTTTGACTGGGAGAACAAGTGTTAATGATCAAACACCAGAGGACACGCACAACATACTGTATGCAAATGAATACCATAAATCCATCAAATATAAGGTATTAGCGTATAAGTAACTTTTACCAAATTCTTACACTGAATTGGTTGCATTAGAGTCAGACACGTTCATCAGGAGATATATAATTATAATTTATCAGTTTAATTTACCATATTGGATTTGCCCTGTGTTGCATGCAGCGCATTCTAGCCGCCATGTAAAGAATTAATGCCCCAGGGATATAGCAACTAACAAAAAATATATTTTTGCAAACTTACACCAAGTTTGGTAGTCAGCTGGGGTACATCCACTAAGCATGTCTCCCACCTCATTCTCAGTTAGTCTGATATGTCCCTCCATGTTGCCTTTAGCTCCCACTAGAGTGGCAACAAACTTCTCCAATTGGTCCACAAAGTCTACCACTTGATTCTTGTTACCGTCATTAAGGGATCCCCAGTCCTAAATGAGAGACTCAAACATGTATAGAACTTGAAATGACACCTCATAGCCCATTATGAAATTGGCAATAATTCTCAGTTATGTTATATGTTTTATCTATATACAAATCCACATAAGGAGAATGCACACATGAATGAGTGACACCTTGTAAGTATGTTTTCCCACTATACTAAACTTATGTATTTTAAGTTGCTATAATTTCCAACTTCACTGTACTTGCTTTAATAAACATGGGATGGACTTACCTCTTGTGATTTAAGAGCTGGGACCCACATTCTACTCAGGAGTTTTTCAATCCCATCAAGAATGTGACCTCCATTTGAATCTAGCAGACCAAAATTGATTTCTTGAGCAATATTCTGAAAGAGACCGTAATAAAATAACATGAAATTAAGCAAAACACAGCATGAAGTATTTTCCTGGAGTGTTTTTTCTTGTGTCAAGTCATTTTCCCAATTGATGTCTTAAAATGGTGGATATGATCAAAATTTGAGTTTTTTCATCAAATCATTGATTGATGTCACAAATTGATCACAATTGATGTCTTAAAATGGTGGATATGATCAAAATATTAATTTTTTTCATCAAATCAATTTTTTGCTCTTAATTCATTTCATAAATGAACACTTTTCAAAAGTTTAACAAACATCTAAATTTTAACAAAAAAATTAATAAGCTAATCAAAAAATGCAATAAAGTTATTGATACAAATGACATGTACATCCATTGCACTAAACAATATGATAACATGTAGAATTTGGTGTTAAAAAGATGAGACTTACATTTAGGGTAATAGCCTTCTCTGGGCTAGTACGTAGGAAGAAGATGCATATTCCTTTAAAAGCCTCATCTAGTCCTGTAGTAACAAACAGCCGTTTGTTCGCTTCCTTGTTCGCCACTGCATTGACAGTGTTTGGCACTGACATCTCTCTGAAGTGGACTGATTCCTTCTGAAAATTCAAAATCATATATTAATTAAGTCATTTCATAGGTTGCTTGTATAGTGAGTTTTACTATGTGCATTGAAATATTTTACACCTGTTTTTTTTTTCAAAACACCATTTGACTTTTACTATGTGTCTTCTTGAAGTGAATACAAAATCCAAGAAATTGGGCTAGAAGAGCATTAGGATTTTAACTATTTGCATTCATTTTACAAAATCAATCGTACATTTTGTCTCAAAAACGATTACATATTCTTCAAGCCCCAAATAAGTTTGGAAAGGATTAACTTTTTATGGAGGGGTGTACATGTTGAATGACTCACCAATGGGTCAGCCTGGTAGTAGAAGAGTAACTTCTTAGAGCCATTGGCTTCAAGGAAATCATCAATCAATTCATACTGCAATGTAAAAAGGCAAATGTATATGACAAACTACACACATTTGTACATGTATCTATTAAAATACTCTTATCCATTAATAGGGCCATATATTATAAAATAGGAACAAATGCAATTATAAATGTAACAAATCACAAATAATAGTCATTTTTAAAAAACAAAGTCAACCATAGGTATGTGTGAATGTTGCAGTAATCTAATTATTGCAATCAAACTTGAAAACACCTCGTACCTTTTCATCTCCAAGAACAAAGTCCTCGACTTGGGTCAGTTCAATACCTATACTGTCTGCAATCTGAAAATATACAAAAACGAATACATGTAGATGCAGGATTACATGACATATAGATCTACTGGACTCTCTCTATTGATAAAGTTTTGTGAAGTGCAAGTGTTTATTGGATATCAAGTTGATCAAAGATGAGTATCGGGTCATCAGTTAGGTTGAGTTTTGGATCAATCAATTGAAAAGTTCATCATTCAATTAGTAAACCAAGGTTGGCTTCCATCTTAGTTGATCCTATTGGCCTCACATGACCTGACCTTCAATGTGCTATTTACGTAATAGTTGTCTCTTCCATACTTTTAACATGCACTTGGTTTGCACAATTCATATACATGTATGAGGGTTTATCCTTTGGTATACAAATAATCCATATTTCTTACCTTTTGGAACAGGAAAATGTGCCTCCCATCCATCTGTAAAACATTAAGAATTATATATATACAGGGTGGGCCAAAAAAAACCAATACCCAACTTTAAATCAGACTGAAAATAGCTATGTTCAATATGATACACTGATTTATATATCATTTTAAAGGTTATCCAATTTCGAACAATTTGGTATATAACACTATGTCATGAAATCCATATTAAAGTTTTATTATGCTTGTTTGGGAGGCCGGGTCAGTATTTAAGGTATCCAGATTTTAGGGAGAAAATAGTAAATCTGCGGAATAATGTTAATTTTTTATTCATAGAATATCATTTTGTTAGGTGAATAAATGCTTGTATATTTGCATATTGTGTGACTAAACTTATTGTTTATGAATTTTAGTGTTGTTTATTATCAATAAGTACTCAAAGGGATCTGTTAAAAGACAATAAACGTATATGTGACGAGGATTTTATTTTCCAACAAGACATTGCCCCGTACCATAGATCTCAAGAGACATTGGCATTCCTTTGCAAACAAGGTGTCAATTTGATTGATCTCATTGCTTGGCCACCCAACAGCCCCGATGCTACATGTAATTTGTTTGATTACGATACATGGAGCCATCTCGAGGAAATGGTACAATCAAAAGCATCCAATAAACAGCTTTGATGTGCTGAAACAGAATCCTAAAGTGCTGAAATGAATTGCAACAGAAATCTCTCAATAATGTTATTGATAGATTGCGCTACCACTTGAAGCTTATTGTTGATGCATAGGGGAGGGGGTGGGGGTATATTGAGCAATTGTGAAAATTGTTTAAATAAATAAAGTGTAAAATGTTATTAAACAACACTGAAATTCATAAACAATAAATTTAGTCAAACAATGATGAAAATATCAGTATCCAAGCATGTATTCACCTAACAAAAGAATAATATTCTATAAATAAAAAATTAACATAATTCCGCAGATTTACTATTTTCTCCCTTAAATCTGGAGACCTTAAATAGCGACCCGGCCTCCCAAATAAGTAAAATAAAACTTTACTATTGATTTCATGACATAGTGTTATATACCAAATTGTTTGAAATTGTATAACCCTTAAAATGGTATGTAAGTCAATGTACCATATTGAATGTAACTATTTTTATCCTGATTTGAAGTTGGGTATTGGTTTTTTTTGGCCCACCCTGTAGATATAGTTTTTAAAAATATTGCGAACCATTGTAAAGCTGAACATACTGCTCTTTGAACTAAATTATAACGCATCCCATGACTTAGTTTACTTTATTTCATTGCATAATATTTTTCACTGAACACACTCCACTTTATTTATATTCATCAGTAATATTTACATTTCATTATTTTCAAATTAATAATATGTAAAAGTTTCAATCATGCTCATTTTATATATATTTTAAATTATGTTAAACTTCAAACATACCGCTGATCGACGATCATCTCTTGTCGCCTTTGCCTGCTTTGCCATTGCTTGAACAGCCTCCCCTGTAAGGACAACTTTCTTCCCGACAGCCTGGAATTTCCATGACATCTTAAAATTTTATTTCAAGTCACCTGGTTCTTGTTTGTTGAAGCAATTACCAATTTTAGAATAAAGTTGACAGGCCATCTTATTTTGCCTTTAATTTGAGCCAATCCATTTTTATTTCTTAAGCAAAGTCTGTTTTGACATCCTTGTTTTTTTGTTATGGTAACCAATTTAAGGTTTGAACTGCCAGCACCTTGAGGAACCATTAAGTTGAAATTAATACTGTCTAAATGATACATGTTTCCATGAACCTGAAAACCCTTATAAGCTCCATGTGTTTCTGACGTAATAAAATTTCTGTCTAAATTAAACTTTCTGACTTGAAGTCTAGACAGGCGAGGCCACGAAGGTATGCCTATTTATACCCTACCTTAAGTTAAACTATGGGATGCCACTGGATTAATTCATTGATTTATGGTAAATAAAAAGTGTGGGTTGCATGACTTTATATCTTATCTTATAGGCAATCAATAATAAATTGATCTCTATCTCAAAAATGGGATGTAACAATTAAAACATAATGCATACCAGATATGCTTATCAAAAAATAAGATTTAATGACATGTCTCATATCCAACATGCGGGTAAAAAGAATTATCTCTTACACAAAGAGTGTAGATGAATCTCTCTTTTAGAGATTCAAACTCAAACTATTGGAGAGGGTATACAGGTTCTATAACATACTAATCTTCAACAATTACTCAGATGTGAGTAGGCAGTAACCAGTTTCGCCACTAGGTGGCTAATTCGGGGGAAATAACATAGCAGGGTATTACAAAGTTCCCTTAAACTTGAAAATTCATCAGTTTTAGCAGTTCACTTTTCATATTACCCTTGTGTATCTGATAGTTATGCAAATTAAAATATGTCCAGTAAAAGAAAATATTATCTGTCCAACACAAGAATTTTCCCGAACAAGAAGTCACATTTTTAAAGAAATTTTAATTTTCAAGGCATGATAAACTCTTTTAAAAGCCACATTTCTAGTTGTAATTTTACACATAGTCTGACTGAATTTTGAATTTTTTAAAAAATCAAGATTATTTCTACTCGCATCTAGTCTATTAGATCTTAAGAAAAATTATCTAATTTTCAGGGATAGTGTAGTTGTAGGCCAAGGGTAATATCCACAAGGTCATTGACATAACTTTGACCATGGCATTTACTTTACAATCCATCAATTCTCATTAATTTTTCATTCTAATCTTTCTCCTAATCCCCTATGGCATTCCATTGTGTTATTGACAATCATTGTTAAATGCTGCATGAAATTAACAGAACGTAAATCTTATTTGGTATGAAATAAACAATTTAAAGAATAAATACTTTTAACTTTTAAACATTAATAGGAACAATTTATTCAACTGTATGAGTCATCAGTATTCATGCAAAATTTAATTCTTCGTAATTTTTTTTTATTTTGTTGACTTATCTTCTACATTGAATTTCATGAAATGGTTCCAAGTATATGCGCTACAGTGATGCCATTACTCTTATCAGAAAATATATTTTTTACTATTGCAAATGATCTATTTCATAATTTCTTTAATTAATGGTGGTGCAATGGGACATTCAGGAAGGAATATAACATATTAAAGATAAAGAACTTGATGTAAGTCTTAGATCATATTTAGCATGTATTTGGGTAGTTTTAAAGCTACAGCATGGTGTCAATGATATCATGGACCCAACTCTTACAGGGGTTGTCAAATCTCATCCCATGAGAAAAATGCATTGAATTGGACAATGTTGGGAAACTGTGACATTCCTAGTGAACAGAATTGTTTCCTATGAAATCTTATCCAGGCAAAGCTTTGCATGTGGTCTTCCAATAATCAATATATAGGAGGTTCTGAATGGTTCAATTAATTACACATAAATAACCTTTGCAAATTATAGCCTTGTTAAAAGTCCTTGTGACCCTCTCCCACAAGGTCTCACTTCTGGAGCTGAAGAAAATGGGGGGGGGGGAACTTGATGCATGCCATTCACATTTGGTTTATCTGTAATACCATGGTTTATCTGTATTACATTTTCTTTATCTATATTATTATGATTTATCTGTAGTGAATAACCATTTCTTCATCTATTTTATCATGATTTATCTGTATTGACATTTCTTTATCTGTAATACATGACCATGATTTCTCTGTATTACCATTATTCATAATTGAAAACATTGCATGACTTGAATAGAATCCAAAGACCCATATTCACACTCACATTGATCATTTTGTTCATAATTGATGATTATTGAATCGCTCAATTAGGGAGTTCTTATTGCACAAAACGAAAGCTATAGAATCTGACAAATGGAATTGAAAATATGATTATCTCAATTTGCAGTTTATAAATTGTTATATACCCTAACACTATACTATAATGTAACTCTAAACCTAATTAAAAAAGACTTAATATGACAGAATAACCATTCATTACAACATGAATTATTAAATCTGTCTATTTTGTAGAATACAATGAGTGGATTTTGACATTTTAAAATATTTATGCAATAATAATGTTTTAAATTATTCATGTGTTTTGTATTTGTCGGAACTATAGAGTGTGGCACTACCAATTTTTTCCATTATTTTTTCAACAGGTTGTTTTTTCATCAATTGACTTTCATTTTATCAATGAAATAATCATGGGGTTGAATGTCCCAAAATCAAGTTTGGATGTTTTAAAAGGGCTGACAGCATTACCTAAAAAAAAAAAACTAAATAGAACCAATATAATAAATACTAAGTGTAAATCTTACATTCTTTGCAGCGGAGACAAGAGACTTTTTCCCACCAAATATAGATTTTTTCTTGTCATCTTCTTTTTTGACATCCTCTGAAAACAAAAAATGTTGACAAATACGTGTATATCCAATTCTTGAACATCATTTGCAAAGAAGAATCATTCACTGAATAGTGAATAAATGTGAAGTTTCATCAAAAGTCAATCAAAAGTCATCTTCAATAAAAAAAAATAAACCAAAAAATGTGACGTGAATAATTTCAAAAATGAGATATTGCATTTAATTATTAGACTGAAATTCATATCAGCAGGTCTGCCATATTAAAAAAAAACATCTAAAATCTTGAACTTTAATTCTCTATTGTAAAGTTTAGTCTAAAGGTGGAAACTCAGTCAACAGCAGTCAACTGAGTAAATTCCAAATAAAATCATGGTTTCAAAAACTATGAATAATAGATAGATGGAGCCAATTCACATACTACAAAGAGATACATCAAGGTATTAGGTACCTGTATTCAATTCAAGTGAGTAAAAGCTGAGACCATCTTAGTCTCAGGTAAAAGCACAAGTCAAGTGGCAACTAGCCTAACAAGTGCATGCACAATATAATATATGTACATGTAAGCCACTGTATCGGGGGCTATGATGCAAGGCTGGAATATATCTGTAGAGACAGCATTGCATGGAAAAATGTTTAATGTATTAGTCCAACCTGTGTATCAACTTCTAGGCCAAAAAAAAGACATAGGGGTAATCTCGGACAGGGCATTGTCGAATGATCTTCAATAATTCTTTGTTTTATATGGTTTCTTTATTGAAACTTCAAATTAGATGAATGATAATTATCAATGTGGTGATATTATATTAGGCTACATGCAAATGTAAAAATTACACCGGGAAATTACAATGCCTCGGATTGTCAACTGATACCAAGAATTTGTCTGGGAATGCCCCATGGCTGAGAATGCCCCTATGTCCTCTACCATTAGCCTAGGCCTAGCACAAGTTGAAGCACTTCTTACTTTTCTCTGTTGTAATGAGAGGAGGTGCGACATCCTGTCCAGTTTCTTGACTAGACGGTGGTTTGTTTGAGTCCCCCTCTCCAGGTTTTCCTTCAGCACTTGACATCTTTTGCTTCTTTACTGAATCATGAATACTGGTAGTATATTTTCGTTGATTTGACTAGACTATCCAGATGTTCAAACTTACTCACTGTCGTGCACTGAAAACTGCACTGAAAATTTCTGAACAGATTTTTTTCAAAAAATGAAAACCTCGATTTTCATGAGTTTTTGCACCGGTAATTCAATGCACACCAATTTATTATTGTTATATGTGCAACATATCGTCTCATAAATTGCAACAATTCTGTATTAATCCCATAATGTATAAATAAAGTTATCAATTTTAAAATTTTACAACTTTTTCAGGTTTCGCTTGTAAATAGTGCAGCGTAATAATATGTTTAACAGGTGCGTTTTTACTGATCCCCGGGGTTAATTTACACATATATTATCGTCCAAAAACAACCACTTTTGATGAATTTAAAACATTATTTGTTATGGATAATAATTTTTAAGTCCGTTGAAAACAATAAATGTGAATTATTTTTCTCATACTATCAGAAATATTCACATCTTAAATTTGCGCAAAACTGCGGAAGAATAAAATTGTGATAGGGATTGTCATAGTGATCTACATCAAGGAGGATTGGCTCCCAGAGTGCAACATCGATATTCTGTCCCATATATGGGCATGTCGTGCTACAAAATTTGAATTCCAACGACCGCCATTTTGTTCACTTCAACATTTGAATTGTGAATTTTGGTCTTATTTCCTAACGAAAAATTCCAAAAACTCACAAGAAATGATCGAGATATTGGTTAGAATATTTTGAACTGTTTATTTTGAATTTATAATCGGTTTTAATTTCAGAAAATAACGACATTTCGGCGTTTTCATTGTTGGAAAATATCGACTTCGATTCTGGGAGCCAATCCTCCTTGGATCTACATTAAATAAACGAACAGTACAAAATACATGTTTATAGCGAACGTTTGAAGCGTTTCAATGTTCGGTATTAGTGAGTCGTAAAGTAAATACTATAGTATTCTTGAAAACGTTATCAAAGGAGGGGAAGTCTAAAAATTAAGATGATTTAAGTATTCAAAAGTATTAAAAGAGGTTACAGCCTAGTAGTTTGTTTGTTTCTTTGTGTTTGGTTTCTGGGAAAACACAAGATAAGTTGCTTATTTTTTAAATTCAAAGTAGTTCCAAACATTTAAAATTTTACTAGAGACACCCAACACATGATACACTAAATTGCTTATTTTTATTTGGAGTTTCAAAGTCGAGTATTACTGGTGATCCACTCGATTACGCTGGTTACCGAAACGGTTCGCTTCGATGACAAAATGGTATTTCGAAAAACAATTAGATCTGAACTTTTAACCCATACCGTTTCTGTAACTTAAGTGAGGAATTATATCGATGATTCTGTTGTCCTCTGAGATATTTTTTCGCAAACGCCCTAGGAGACACCATTAAATGTATATCTGATTGTAATTGAGTGTTGACAAGAGTAAGTTGACTATTAATTAGAGCCCTCTCAAGGAGAGTAGTATTCAAGTGCTGCCATCTTTAAATGCTTTGCCAAATATTTTGCTATGTATGGCCATAATCACAATAAATGAACATGTATGCAAACATAAATAAACAGTATTGATACCATACTATTGATGGTCACTGAATATATGTTTGAAATCCATGGTTATCAGCTTTAAATAATGACTGTATATGTCTATTGGATCTATATTATTAGTATCTTACCCACCCTAATACTAATTTGTGCCACTCTGATTTTGAAGGATAATATGAATATTCATAATGTCCATAATTGATATGACTGCTAAGTGAGAATTATAGAACAAAATATTTGCTTTGTTATTTATTATATACATTTTTATTTCTCATACCCTCCATTCTATTATACATGTACAGTTGGTAACATATCAAATAATATAAATTTACATCGATACATAAACTTACAGAATACATCAAATGAAACTGTAGAAAGTCACTTCCAAATTAAATTAACAAATTACCATAAGGCAGATAGCAAAGACAGTGATCTCCCCAGTATTGAAGCATATTATATATTTTGACCAATTTCAGTCTGAATTGTGAAAAATTATAAACCAACTTAAGAAAAATCCTGGGGCTATCACTGCAAGAAGCAAAATTAAACTTCACATATTGGAAAAGGTAGGAATAGTCAGGCTTCACATGGCAAAAACATTGTATGAATATTATGAGGCAAATATTCAAAATTGAATGTGAAGAAGTAAAAATAAATACTTCTTCATGTTATCATATTCTTACTGGACCAGATATACCCGAGCATCTTCTCTATTGCACATCATGAAAGAATTCAGAAGTTCTGATGGGGTGAAAAGACAGTTTCACAAATGCAGGCCCGTAGCCAGAGGGGAGCAGAGGGAGCGGCCGCTCCCCCCACCCCCTGGCCAAAATTCCTGTCCCCTTGGTAAAACCGCTCCCCCCTGGTAAATCCTGGCTACAGGCCTGAAATGGGCCTTTGTATTTGAGAACTACAACTGCAATAAATAAATTACCAACTTGCCACAGTATCAGGGGAAATACTTGTACAATATCGAAATGCAAGCGAAATCGGCGATTTAATTAAACTATTTAACATGCATGTGAAATGATTCAAACAAAAAACATTCATCCTTGTTGTTTTCCTTTTGGCTTTTTCGCCAGTATAGCCCCTAAAGCCCCCTTTACAATTGAAATGGTTGAAAATTACAAGCTAAATGTGCAAATTGAAAGAAACATTGAAAGGTTAAATCAAAAATGTTTGAAATAAAAATCATAATGCATAAAGTGCTTGACAGGTCATTTGATCATCCTGTAAATGCAATATACCATACTATATACAAACATAATTCATTTTATATAATTTATATGTGTTCCCCTCTTGTCTTACATTAAGACCATGTACCTCATTCTACCATCTCTCCTACTCAGGAAGAATGTCTGAATGTATTCCACAATATTGGCATGATGTTATTATCTATACCTCATGAATATATTAAATAATGTTATTGTGATATATCTCAACATGTTAAACTAATGAACTACAGGTACTGATACTCAAAAGTGGATAATATTGATATCCAATGTAGACATATACCCCATATATCTCTGATATATGCTGAACAAACTTCTAACATGGAGTATCTGAATCAAAATATCTAACCAAATCCATCAAAAAAAAATTGTCAACAGAGAATATCACAGATATAACCAATAAATTTTTTAACGCTTAACAAATAATTCTGATCACACGTACATTCTTAAATGGCAAGTGATTTTAGACAGTTAATAATCTTTCACAGTGAGGTTTCTCACAAAATGTTTTTGTCAAGTCAGCAGGAGATCCAAGACGTCATTTCCACTGTTCTTTCGGCAAAATCGTGAAGTAATCTAAAGTCCTTAGGATAATAAAAATATCAATCTTGACTAAAACATGAATTAGGACCACCCTCAACACCTTTTGTGAAGATGGTGACCAAAGCTGGGCCACAAATACATTGCATGAGTTTTTCCTTTGAAAAATACCATGAGAGGCTGTCAAAAAAATAATGGCACCCCCCTAGGCTACTTTATTACTAGTTAAAAGATAATCTTCAGAAAGTGGAACAGGTGTTAATCACAGTGGATGCAGAACAGGTTTAACATGCAGGCAACCTGTCAGCTCTTATTGCATATTGGTTATGATGACAAAAAGAAAAAAATATGGTGGATAGAATATGTTGTATTATAGAGAGATGGTGTAAGAAATGTGCTAGATCCACTCCACTATACCTTATATTTGGTGTTCATGAGCAACCCATTTGACTTATTAGTAATAATTATGTTATTTGTTTTTATTTGGCTGTTCCTTATGGTTTATCGGTTGACTATCGATTGACTGTTAGATGTTCATAAGGTACTTTCAAAAATATATTAAACAATGCAATTAGACAAACAGAGTATCTTATGCATTTCTAGGGGTTAGGAATAGTAGAGTGAGATCTCATAATGATATTATAATGGGCATACCAAACATTCTGACACCAGTCAGAGCAGCTTATTCTGAACAGTAGTGGAAGTAAGCGGAAAAATTGCGCAGAAGTGGCTAGAGATATTAAAGTAAAAGGATGAAAACTGTTTCAAGAAAACTTTTACATAAATATTGCAAGCAAGCTGGACTAAAACCCTTGCATACATAAAATTCATGATGCCAAGTGTTAACCGAAAAATTACAACCATATTTCAATCAGATGCAGAATTTGACAATCTAACAAAGAAATTGCCTAAAGACATCAGAATTGAGTGGAGCAGTTGCACATGATGTTGTGGTAGCCCTAAATCCAACAGGGAGGATGTCAAAATCAAAGACTTTCAACGAAGAGTTGACCAAAAGATTTACAGCCATTTGATGATAAAATACAGATGTTAGACAATTTAACTGAGGTATTGTCTAAAGAAATCAGATTGCAAATGATGTTGCGGTAGCCCTAAATGACACGAGTTGTCTGAAGGAGCTGAACTTGAATGAAAAGTGCTGTGATAATACATCAAACGTGGCTCCATTCACCATTGAAAATGAATGCCCAATGTGTAACTGCTCGCCATCCCCTCCTGGCTCCCTGCCAGAAACCACTGCCAATCCATGGACAGTACCAAGCCAACAACAGCACAGGGTGTCTTCTGGTCAAGAATCTGTACACATTCGCAATTCCAACAACAACAAACCAATCGGCAAAGCCGAGGGAGGAAATTTGAGGAAAAAAGCAATGCTCCAAAGAAAATCACAAACCTGCAAATGCCGAGAAGAGGGGAAGAGCCCAACACACTTATTTTAACATCATATTGGTGATAACTCAAACATTTAGGTGTACATGTACATCATACTTGACTTGTTTGTCACATTTAAAGGGGCCCAATGTTTAATTCTGATCCCAAAATATACCTAAACTGCATGCAAAAAGAAAATCAGGTCCTTTTTTGAAAATAAGTAAATATTTTAAAAATATGTCGAGGCATGATCTTAATTCATAGGAGAATTTCACTGATATTTTCATTATCCTAGGGGAGAAAAACATAGTTTTAATGAAAAATGCCATTTCAACAGCCAGAAAATACTTGATGGTCAAACATATTACTGTCTAAAATCACTTGCCATAAAAACTGTTAACAATATAGCTGATGGTTATAGAGTATATCACCAAATACAGTTTTTAATCAACAAAAAAAATCAATCCCCTCAGATTGTGGTTCAATCAAATGCCATGTAGCCATATACTGTCAGTTTGTATCTCTAATAGAATCAATATAATAAATTAATAAAAAATGAAGATTAATTGGAAATTAAGCTGACACACCAGTTCCTACATGTACATGTTAAATTGAGACCACTGCCCATTTGTGTGCAATAATATTATTCAAAAGTAATCTGCACTAATATCACATGATGATAGGTTGAACATACAAATGTGAATCCTCATTTATAAAATAGTACAACATTGGTTTTATCATTCAACCAACGAGCTTCATTCCCTCATTAGTGTCTCTGGAATCATGGTTACATAGTCCCTCCTCTGTCAGGGAAAAGTCAGGGTAATACTCACAGGGTAAAGTATTTTTACTTCCAAATAAAGGGAGGAGACACCCCACGTTTTTCAACTCCTAATCTCAAAAATATATACACACAATTAAGTATATATACTGTGTTTAATGTCAATCAAAGAACCTATTCCATAAAAGAACAAACCTGAATGCGTTATTTATAATTTCTAGACTGCCTCTCCTAAAATGATAATTGTGATTCTCCTGACCAATGGAAAATAGTATTAGGTGTGCCCATGAATCATGGGTAGTATTTTCCTTATGTCTATGAATCATGGGTAGTATCCTCCTTATGTCTATGAATCATGGGTAGTATCCTCACTTATATCTATGATTCCTGGGTAGTATCCTCCTTATGTCTATGAATCATGGGTAGTATTCTCCTTATGTCTATGAATCATGGGTAGTCTCCTCCTGTTATCAATATTGCAGATCATGTGGCTATGACTCCTTTGTTTCGGCCTCAATTTGTTGTAAGATTTCATTTTCTAATTCAGTGTCCACTAAATCATCTCCATCAACTACAACCTCATATTCATTAAGTTCTTTCTGAAGTTCTTGTTCCCATTCTGGAAGCTCTTCTTTTTTGCCTGAAAACACATGACAACTTTTCTTATCGTATGATCTGTAAAACGAAGCCCTCTGATTGGTCAGTTCTTGTGCCGTACCAATCTGTATTTCTACTGAGATTGTTCCCGTTGATCACCTCCGTCGCAATACAGAAAATATTGGTACGGAGGGGACAATCTCAGTAGCAATACAGAGAGGATCACATGATAAAAACGTTATTGAATGATTTGAAGTGCAATGCAGGATATATTCTGTCTCGATATTCTGTATTGGCACTCGACTTCGTCTCGTTCCAATACGGAATTTCTCGAGCAGAATATATCCTGTATTGCACTTCAAATCATTCAATAACTTATATTATTCTACATTTAATACATTCTTATATAGGATACATGGATACATGGATAACAAACAGGTCTTGCATCAAGCCCATGTATAATACTCCCCTTCCCTCTGAAATACAAGGCTTGGGAGAAAGACAGTAGGGGAGAAGGCAGTGACTTGACGCAAGACTACAAATAACCTAAATGCTGTATACAGAATCGAGAAATAAACTTGTATCAATTCGTCAAGAATTTTATTTTCAGTTAATACGGTCAGGATTTATATGTAATAACAATTAAAAAAAGATAAAAAGAGTTCATGTTTGTGTTGATCACCAATTACATTAGAGTAAGAACCTAACTGTAGACATCATCTGAAACTGAAGAACATTGTTAAAATGCAATCAAGGCTACCACCCTTCATACCATCAGGCCAGACATTAACATCCATATTCCATACCTATTATAACTAAATAAAAAATAACAGACCCCTACCTGGTCTTGAAAGGTTATGAATTAAAAGAATACTCCTAAAAAACAGCAAGGATTAGCAAATCACATCGTAGAAAACATGTTTTGATGAATAGCGACCATCTTGAAAATTTCTTCTTGACAGAGCTCCTTTGTCACTAGATATCAGCATATAAAATGTGAGCCAAATCCATCCAATGGTTAACAAGTATTTAACTTTTATGAAAAATAGAGGCCATTTTGAATTCAGTGGCAATACTGAAAATTTCTTCTTGACTAGAGGTCCTACGCCCATAAGACATAAGCCTATAAAATTTGAAATAAATCTGTCAACCAGTATTTGAGTTATTGCCTGGACAGATGAAGGTACTAGGCCTAATGGACAGATAGACGAACAGATGGATAGGTTCTCTTTGTATCCTGAAAACTTTGTTCGGTGGAATAAGAATACACACATTTTTTTTTAATCTTGTACAAGGTTTTAGGGAGACACCTTCGTCTGATTTGTCTTCCACTTGGAAACACATGCTTTTATGTGAAATTAGTGTATTTTTAAATGACAATCTAAGAGACAATTTTATTGAAAGTACAAGACCTTTTTTCAATACCCTAATGTGGTTTGAAAGACTTTACTACTATGAATCTACAATCCCAAAGACAGAAGTACATGTATAGTACTATGTAAAAATATCAATGCATGCCCTGGATGATAATTTCAAATCAATAATGGCTTCTTGGTTGTTCATGACCATGCTTACAATTAAGTGCAAAAATATATTGCAATGTCATGTTCAAAACAATAACTTCTTAGTGTCAACAATGTTGCATGAAATAAACTGAGGCTAGCATTGATAATATTTATCCTTATAAAATACATGTTAGGACATTCCAAAAATAATTTATGGAATAATTTTTTAATACACTATCACCACTATTCAGGAGGAAACACCCGGAATCCTATCATGAAGAAACTGATACCCAGGATCCTACTGTAAAAGACAAACCTATTTTTGCTCAAGTATTTCATTCATGAGCTCTTTTTCCCACTGAGCCACATCTTCCATGTCATCTGGAATACCATCTTCAATCTCAATGTCTTCTGTTTAATGATGGAGGACAGAAACAAATTCAAAATAAAGTTTCAAACTTGGTCATGAAAAAAACTTTCTGAAATCTTTATTTTAAATGCTGTTTATCAAATTCCCTAATACAATGACTCTGCTAATAAATCAACTTTTCTTGACGAAACAATCAACTTTATGATCTACCTCATTTAAAAGGGAAAATAAGGGGATAAAGAACTGGGAAAAGAAATGGGCTACGACAAAAAGAACTATATAACTTATTTATAATAATATTTGCCATATCATACCAATTTGGAGCATTTTAGAGGAAGGGGGAGGGGGAAGAGTTGAGGTAAGGGTGAACTATTTTCAGTTATTTTACCTTTTTTATCTGCTGTATCACTCATGCCAAGCTGTTGCATTTCTTGCCTTAGTTCATCCTCATTCAGCTGACTATCTTCAAATGCATCACTGACAAACTCATGCTGAGGAGGGCTCTCGGCTATATCTGCATCATCTTCCTTTCCTCCAGTAGCCTTTGGTATGGCTTGTCCACTTGTTTTATCTACAAACACATGAACTATGGCATTAACATATTTCTCAATATCATATAGAAGTACTTATTTCCAATTCATAGTAAGATATGGACCGTTTGCTTCAGCTTCTGTAGGGGTTCTCACTCTTTCAGAAAAAATACTTTGGTCAGGAATAAGGAAAGAAAACATTATAGTCAAGGATAAAATGATAAGGAAAAGGTTCCCATAGATAACATATTTTGTCTACAAAAAAACCCAGTTTAACTCAATGATTTCATGTACTTCTTCGTTCATGCATTTGTAAATGAGGAGACTAAGAATTTTTAGAAAATATATTCACGTTGAAAAATGGAATTTATTAACAATCCGATTTTGCAAAATAAGGTGATATTCGCAAAATTTCCTATTTGATGCAAAAATGCAAAAAAGCAAGAAATTTGAAGTTTTTACTGGAGTTGATGCATCAAATCTCATTTAAAAATATTTCATTACCTTCTTGAAAAACCTTCCAATTTTTCACATTTTTTTTAATGCAAAATCCAGAGATTTTAAATCACAAAATTCAAAATTTTGATGCAAAATCCTTAGTTTTTAAATCACAAAATCAGCAATCTTATTTGCAAAACTTTAAGAAAAAAATCTGAGGGGAAAGTCCATCCAAAATATTTATTTTGTCTCAATGGCAAGACCAAATATCAAAACTGTTTTCAAGCTAAGCATGTTCCTTTCTATTAGGGTTACAGTGCTTTCAAAACAAAACAAAAGGTGGAAAAGGTTGGTTAACAGTGCTGCTACTAAACAGCGGTTATTAACAGGATCATTGTAAAGTTAATAAAAAATTTTAAGTTTATTGATAAATAACCATGGATAAATGATGTGATAGTATTAGAACAATGAGCTTGAACAGTGAACTCTTAACTTTACAATGTTTCTATTCTTGGCCATCTAGTGGTACAATAATGATGATTCTTATAATTGAATGGTCATATCATTAAGGATTTTGTTTACCTACCCAAACCTATCGAAATATTTTTCATTCAACATTCATGCCAAGAAGTTTGCGGAAAAGGTTAGAACCAAATAACTAGTGTTCCATCACTTGTACTCTGGTACATGTTTATAGATACAGTAAAACCAATCTTAGTGAACACCTCTCAGTGAACACCTGTTCCTAGTGATGCTATAGTAATTGCTTCCATATAACAAGGCTTTAACATGCAAAATGTCACCACCTGCCATTTGTTAGATGCCGAACACTATCTACAAGAAACTTATCAAAATACTTATCAACAGAGAACACTTGTGATTTCAGATATTCACTATTAAACAGGTTTTACTGTAGTTTTACATAGTACGTAAATGAAACATAGAAATGTACAACATAAGGTTAAATCGGAACTGTATTCTACCAGATATCCATGACATGCTCTAAACGCAGAATTAAGCAGATAGGCCGACAGTGTTTGCTTTCCCATCAAACTAACTTATTTTGTGAACAATGCATCTATTGTGACATGGTTTTATTAAAGAGCTTGTCACATAAATATTTGTAGATTTGTTATGATGGAATGATACAGCAATTCTTTTTCAAAAAAGCTAGGCCCATACAATCCATGTTAGTTATATACTTATATGTTTACATACTACATGTATAGATTTGACTTTTCTTTAAAAAACAGATGAAGAAAGAAGATCAGATTTATCATAGTAAGTTAGTATTAACTACTCAGAAATAAAGACATTCTAAATCAGTTATGGGTAGACAGTGTTAGAATGACTTGAATCTAAAAATAAATACGCGTTTTCATATAAGCCACAATAATAGAACCAACAAAAAGTTTTAAAAAGCGAGCCCAATGAAAATGAGTATTTCAGCAAGGGTGCATAGACTTAACATGTAGATATACATCATTGACCAATGATGCATCGGGATACCATCATAACTCAAGTTGATCATTGTCTCAACATAGTATTACTAGAATCCATTTTCAATAGGAACAGGACATTAAAGCTTAACTAAGGCATTTTTGGCATTTTGGTTAGTTCAAACAGTGGTCAGGAATTGTCTGATTACCATGTTACTTCTAAAATGCTTTAAACCACAGGCTGGTATCGAAATATTTGTCCGCTGTGACGGAGCATGCTATTTTTCATAAAAACACTAAGAAAACTTCACGATTTATTTTTTAACTCATATCTTTCGTTATACCATACAAAATTACTTACTCCATGCAATGGATTTATCATTTGCGGGTAACTTTCACTTCTGTTTGAAGTCCAATTACGCTGGGAAGAAAAGCTATTGAAAATGGCGCCGGAGTATCATACTTCAAAATGTACCATTTCTTGTTTAACTTTCTAATGGCACGATATAGTGACACGATAATATTTACACATGGTTTCAGCATAACTATGAAGGTATAAATGAGATGTTGATGTATTTTGGTCTTTTTAATTCTTTTATAAAAAATAATGTTTAATTTTTTTGTCCGCTGTGACGGAGCAGTTGCAATTGTGAACTGTGAAAATGCTCCGTCACAGCGGACAAAAAATAGTAATATTATTTTTTACAAAAAAATTAAAAAGACCCAATGCATTAATATATCATTAATACATTCAGAGTTATGCTGAAAACATATGTTAATATTATCGTGTCACTATATCATGCCATTAAAAAGTTAAAAAAGAAATGGTACATTTTAGAGTTTGATACTCTGGCGCCGATTTCAATAGATTTTACTCCTAGCGTTATTGGACTTCAAACAGAAGTGAAGGTTACACGTAAATGATATATCCATTGCATGGAGTAAGTAATTATCTTTGATATAACGAAAAATATGAGTTAAAAAAAATCGTGAAGCATTCTTTGTGTTTTTATGAAAAATAGCATTCTCCGTCACAGCGGACAAATCTTTCGATACCAGCCTGTGTAAACAGGGGTGGATCTGGAAATCAGAAGAGAGGGCGACTAATAAGCCATGAGGGCTATTTAAAAAAATTAAAAATCCCCACTCAGATACTGAAGCAGAGAAAGTATTAAAGAGTACATATATCTTGCTTATTTCATATTAACAAGGGATTGAAGATTCAGTATTTCTACACATACAGGTAACATCGTTTCCCTGTTCGATACCAACCCCAAAAACCAAATAATATTATGTCAAATCGATGAGATTCTTGATATTTACAATACATCAAGTCAGATAATAAATGTTTTATATTGCTTCAAGTATTTATAGCTCTGCAGATCCTAGCCATATCAATATACAATGTCCAGTGAAATATGTAATCGTTCGATCCCTCGTGCCGATCATATCCTCAAATACATGTACATTATAACATAAGCTAGACCCAGGACCCAACAGTGTATTAAAACAATAACCTTCAATGGGACTTAAATAAGTAGATCTGTTCACCTTTGGAATCTATTTCTTGGATATCAGACAGCTTATCATAATCAGAATCTAAAATATAAACAAACCAAAACATACAATTGGGTAGAACACAGGCCATGAATTGGTATATTACAAGAGTCTTCTAATGGGATTAAAAATTAATAATAGAGAGATTTAAAGCCTCTCTGCTAGGGATGTCACGGTTTCTCGATATTGTCCCATCCCTCGGGACTTTGGTCTCGGGACGGGACGGGACAACCCTTGTGTACCGAAGATTTTGGTCCATGTTCAGGATATACTATTCCTCTGAAATATTTTTGTCCCGTGACATCCCTACTCTCTGCCTGTATTATACTTCTGAATTAGAGCAATGTATTTGAAGTGAGGAAATACACACACATGTACACAGAGTCAGATTAGAGTATAGGAAAATGAAAGTAAAAAAAGGATCATTGAGCCCTCAAGATTTTCATTAAAAGATTACTGGATACTAAAACACATTATCTAAAGGAGAGTGACTAGAATCGTATACCAATTCAGGGGCCTAAAAAGGAAAAGGAAGATGCACAAATCAAACACACTCCAGGGAAACATTAAAAAAACTTTACTACATTTTGTACTTCAAACATTTTTCTTGCTTCAATCTCACAGTAAGGCAAAAGACAGAGTTCTCGGGTTCTTGTAAGTACATGTTGAGGTTGTTTAGAGCTTATGCTTATGTTGCCTGATTTTAATTGAAACCCATCAGGAATTCATCAGAGTGATTATAACTGCCAAATGTTTCCATAACAACATAAGCTTACTTTAAACAATCCAGCTTGAAAATAGAGTAAAATTCACAACTCTAGTTTTTCACAAGCTATAATTGTAAGAATGAAGCAAAATGTATTTCTTCTTTCTTCATACATATTATTTAGAGGAATTCTAGAAAGATTAAATACATGTATTTTGGTCTGACCTTTCTGACTGCTATCCACTGATGATCTCCTGCTACTGTCTTTAGATGACCTGCTCCCATTACTGCCCTCTCCTGTTGTACCTGTACAGAAATTACAAATAATATGCAGGTAATGGAATGTTATTGATATATCATGTCTAAGGTCCTGTGTTGTTCTGCAAGATAAAAATGCCAATTTAGAGGCAGAATCAGATCTATAGGGTGTGACAAAGTTGCAAGCAAAATGTACAGTTAACCCACCAATATATTCCTTACCATATCAAATACAATACCTCCCAAAAAATTCACGATATGTTGTAAATTGGTGAAGTTATTACGGATTCAAAGTGCAAAAATGGGTGAAAAATGTTTAAATTCTCCTAAATAATAAGAATGGTAACCATTCTTATAGAAAAAAAAATGATACATTATTGTAAAAATCTTTAGTTTACCGGAGATAAAGTGTGTACTTTGGGCATTTTTAGAAAATAGACATGATAAGGAATGACATGAGCCAGAAAAATATTCTAAAATTGAAACTATTTTTTGTTGGCTTGCTCGCTATATCTGATTCTCTATTTAATGTATCACTGATTTTAAATTTCAAATAAATATAGATTATCATGTTATGGCAGGTTTTGAATATATAGCTTATCTGAAGGGATATTCAAGAATCTTCTCATTTTTGTTGTTGTTTTAGAAGTGATAATATTCATATCCATGTATAACGCCTGTCCCTATATAGAAGAGGGAAACTGACTCAATAAGAATAGTATTCAATATACCTGTACTTAGCCAGGATTATACAATCTTACCTGTCTGCTGGGCAATTGAAGTAAGTTGAGTAGACTGTTTTATAAGGGACACCCTGTAGAAATAGTTCCTCCAGAATGGCTCTTCTTTTATCCTAAAAATAATCATTGCATGAGAATGCAGTTTCATATGTCTGATAAAAATAATGAACTCACACTTGATAGTAGCGAAGAGAAGTCACATTAAGGTTACCCTTGTGTAATTATTTTTTGAATCTTATTGTACATCAATGAAGACAGAGGAGACTAAAGTGCTGAGGTCCAAGTAATAAGCCAAAATATTAATTCTACCTCACTTCTGAGGTTCTTAAAACAGGGAGCAACACAAATATCAAACTCAATACAACTTAGAAGTCAGACACCACCATGGCACATATTTTGATCTCCTAGTGTTAAAACTTATGGAGAATTTAAAAGTGGCAGTCAATCGGCCACTAGGTGAAAAAGACCAATATTTGTTTTCTGCGCAGGTTTTTTGCGCACCTACTTTCGGTTGAAACATTAAGTCTATTTTCATCTCGAAATACTCTCCAACTTTCAAACTACTCATAACCTACGTCTGGCGAATTAATTGAAGAACATTTTAACACCGAATTTGTGGAAATTGATCAATTATATGAGTATAACTTGCCGATTGAATATTTTTTCGAAAAATTGATCTTCCGTTTTTCGTTGATTCTGACTATACGCCGACTCTGCCCCGATTTTATTTTTGGACAAAACGATTGCCATTTATGGCCTAGTCACATAGCCCGGCCGATGAGGTTACGATGAGCCAGCGATGCAATTTTCACCGAACTCGGCCGAACACCGGCCGGACACCGGCCGGACATCCGTGGCGTTTGTTGCTTAAAACCGCATCGGTGGTAGCTCGGTGAAATTTTAACTTCGGAGTTAAATTTCACCGGGCTCTCACCGAGCTCCCTCATCATGTCATCGCAGCCCCATCGTAACCACATCGGAAAACACGTCAGCCGGTGCACGGCCGAGTATCGGCCGGTGTCCCGTGCATCTGAGACAACCAGAGGACGAGGTTTTTTAACGGACAGCGGCCGAGCTCCGACCGAGCTCCGGCCGATGTGGGACAGAGCATCGGCCGGTCACTGTTCAAAGCCCGTTAACAACCCGGCCGGCGATCGCACGGTGTCCTGTTACCTGCTCGGGTACCGGCCGTATTCCTTCCGATGTCCGGCCGACCTCCGGCCGGTAGTTGCTGCCACATCGGCAGAAAAAAACTACCATTTTGAGACAGACTCCGTACGGTCACCGGCCGGTGTTCGGTCGGTCGCCTGAAGATGTCCGGACGGAGTCCGTTCACGTCACCGAGCTCTGCTTCCGATGAGGAGAGCTCGGTGGCACCAAAAAAATCCACCGAGCTCTACCGATGCCGGACATCGGCCGGGCTATGTGACTAGGCCATTATGTCATATATCCAAATAACGTAGAACCACAAGTATACCTTGAGTGGCCCGATGAAGATACACTTTTTCTTTTTCAGTTTTGTAGATTTATCGAAAAAAACAAGATGGCGGCCGAAATAATTTTTCGAAAAGTCCAATTAAGAATTTATTTTCTTTGATACGAACATAAACAGAGTCGTATTCAATTTTTCGAGGTTATAATTACTAAATACAATGTTTAAAACTTCTATTCCAGCACCAGACGAATGCCTAGATTCGTGAATGGTGGGAGATTGATCTTCCAGAATTCAGATCAACCTTTAAAATGAATACATACATGACAATTATTACCTTAAGTCTCAGAACCTCATAATTAAATGAATTAAATCAAACTATGGAACATGTATATTGAAAATGATAGACAATAATGGGAACTATTTCTCCTTTGTTCAAAACTAGAACTAGAAAATGGCAACTCACGGAGTAGCAAATCCCAACGAACACTATATAAATCATCAATCTGTACAGTCACAATGAAATATTTATCATTTACTCTTACCTTCAATAAATATTTTAAATCATGTAACCATACTTTCAAGATAACTCTAAGTAATGGCGAATTTCTGCTCTAGTCAGCTATTTTGAATTTTCAGAGGCGCAAATCAGAAAAACAATGCCATAATTGTGATCTACTCTGAAATTCCTTCAATTGGAGTATAATATAGCCATTACTTTTAAGAGATCAGAAGACAATTGCGAAATCCCGCAGTAGGTGGCCATTTTGAATTTTTTGATCCCCGAATCAGAAAAGCGTTACAATATTTGCAATCTACTCTAAATTGCCTTTTATTTGAGTATAATAAAGCTATACTTCAAAAACATCTCAAAATTAACGCAAATTCCTGTTTTCCCGATCCCCCATTTACAGCCCCTGGGGGTCAGGGTGAAAAACCCAGGATATATGTGAAATAGTTAGATGATGTTAATATACTACCAAAATTTCAAATAATAATATTTATTATTTTGGTTTATTTTGGCAAAAAATTCCCGCCATTTTTAAACTGGCGGCCATCTTGGAGAAAATTTTTTTTGCATAAAACTGTTCACCAATATACATCATTCCACCAAATATGAAGAAAATCTGTCGACTAGTATTCAAGTTATCTTCCGGACGGACTGACTGACTGACTGACAGACAGACGGACGGAGGGCTTCACTATATCCCTACAGAACTTCGTTCGTTGGGATAACAAAGCAAAACAAGGCATTAACATGACAAAATTTCACCACCTACTGCTCACAATATCATAAGTTCAATCTTAAGAGTTGAACTTCTAAGAACTTGTAAATGATTTTGAAAAAATTGGTCAATTTGCAGAGACGAAAAAAATACTTTTTTGACCTTCAGGAGGTCAAATCTTATTTGACCTTGAGAATGTCATTGAAGGTCATATCTATAGCAAGATTTGAACTTTTGGGAACTTGTAGATGACTTTGAAAAAAGGTCAATGTGAAGCAAGATGAAAAAGGACCTTTTGACCTTGACAAGGTCATTGAAGGTAAAATATTTTTTTGAACTTGAGAATGTCATTGAAGGTCAAATCTATAGCCAGATTTGAACTTTTGAGAATTTGTAGATGATTTTGAAAAAAGAAATTAGTCAATAGGATAGTTTGAAGCAAGTTGAAAAAGACCTTTTTGATCTTTTTTACCCTGGAAAGGTCATTGAAGGTCCATTCTCAAATCTAAAGTCAGATTTGAACTTCTAATAACTTGTAGATGATTTTGAAAAAAATGGTCAATTTGAAGCAAGTTGAGAAAAGACCTTTTTGACTTTTTTAACCTTTTTTGACCTTGAAAAGGTAAAATCTTAAATATAAAGTCAGATTTGAACTTCTGAAAACTTGTAGATGATTTTGAAAAAAATTGAAGTCAGTCTAAACAGTATTTGTTAAGTTATTGGAAGTTGTAAGAATTTGTTACAGACGGTACGCAGATCGCCAACTGCCATCTGCCGACAAAAAAACAGAGACCATGTCACCACTTTTTGGTGGTGACATAAAAATCAAAACTGACTTACTGTTTAGGTACCAGTTCAAACCTCATCTTTTGGAGGTTGGGATCTTCCTGTAATGTTGCCATGGCAACTGGGTACGCAGAATCAAACTCAAATGTGAACTGCACTCCACCTGGTGGATTTCTTAGGAAGTTACGCTTATCCTGAAATATTGATTTTAGATTTCATTTATGTTTTACATGAAGAACTGAAGGACAGAACCCAAATACTGTATGTGCTAAAATTATCATAGTACTATTTTATAAGGATTGAACATTTCAGTAAAAATGCAGGTGCTAACTAGACCGAGTCATACTGTCAGCATTTAAGGCCACTTTTAGAGCTATTTATACCACTGAATTTGCTAATGCAAGAAACCTCTTGGACTCAGCTGTGATACCATCAAGCAAATGCACAAGCAAACGCACAGTATCATAAGGTTTTGTAAGTACCCATAAAAAACATGACCCGTAACCAAATACAGAAATATTTTCAACTAACATATACTGATATACAAATCAATTAAATTGATGTTAAAATGAAATCATGTATTATAGCTATATTTCAACCTTTTACCTGAGATAAGGCCAATATCTGTGATTTCATAGTCTCTTCCTCATTGTAACCAACCCAGGGAGGAACAGCTGCTTCTGATTGTTTTTTCCTTTCTCTATTCTCACTAACAAACTTGTCCTGCTCCTTAGAAAATTCTCCAAGAATTGTCTGGAAACAAAATTTATTTTGTCTAATTACATTACATGTATTTTAACATATTCAGAGGGGGGGGGATTTTGAGTAAGAGAGTAAGAAACTGCCCATCAAATGGGAGACGATAACTTTTAAATAAGAAGACAAATTTAAAATGTCCATCATTCTTTGGATTTTCTGCAATATAAGAGATGGCCCATCTTTTGATATATACTACACAATGCAGTGGAATAGGTACCCTATAGGTTGTCACTATGAGGTAATTCAGGGGCAATTCAGATGGTCTAAATATGAAATTCTCTGCTTCATAGGAGTTCAGTTTGTAGTGTCACCTTCTGTTTAGTTTTTTATATATTCATTTATGAGAATTAATGAGAATTAATTTCGACAATTCTATGATCAATGTTCAAAACTGAACTACATGTATAACAACTTCAAAATGGAAATATGCAAAATTTTTTACCACTCACATGCAATGTTATATAATTTCATTTCATTTCCAACAAAACTATAAAGCTTAAAAGTGTGGCACAAAGAAAGCTTAAATAAATTGATAAAAGCTTCATGCTGATTTCTTACATACATAAACTTACTAGGGAAATATGTTACTTAAATTGTATCTAAAGATGGGGGGGGGGCATCTTGATCCTTCAAGGTTTTGGGGTTGAAGGGGGGTACCTTATGTCAACATTATAAATAAATAAAAGCAGTGTAATATGAGGTTTGATTGGCAAAATGTACAAATCTTTGGGTGTTTTGGCCAACCATCGTCTATTCCGCGCACTAGGCCTTGTAACAAGTTCCGTAGTTGCTTATAAGGCCTCGAAAATGAGCTCCGTTTGAGCCTGTACGAGGATCATGCTCCTTCTTGGCTGTAATGATTCGTAATTCTTGCGGCTCGAACAAGCTCGTACAAGGCCCGATGTAATTTGCATGTGTACCTGATTATATTTTCATGCCAGTGAGTCACATCAGATTTGCACTTAATAAGATGGGAAAAAACATTCCAAGTCACAATAGAAATAGTCAATTTTACCACCATAGATTGTTTGTTAGTAGATATGTCAAGCCTCACTCGAATGATCTCTGTTTCAATTCAATAGCATTTTATAACAAGATTGCAAAATGATTTCAGCCAAAGACAACCCTATTAAATAAGCCTTTTAAGTATATAATGGGGAAGCTTAACATAAAATCAAAATCTTACATACATTCTGTACCTTAGGAATCACCTATAAAGGATTATATAATAAATGATAATATAAGATGAAAACTTCAGAGAGAATAGAAAATGAAAGAAAAGAACCATCGTATGACTGTAAATCCTAATACACTTCATATGACTATAAAGTTATTGAGACATACCATAACACCATTAAACCATAAATATTTACATGTATATATAACACATGACTGTCAAGGTGTCCAGGGCATCATGTTTTACAACTAACAACAGGAGCTATACATACAGTCTCTTCTTCCTTTGCCGAAAAAATAAACATAATTGGATAAGTATTTTCCAAGATAATGATTTCTTTGAGTTGCGTTTTCTTAACACCCTTTAATACATGTAACACTCCAGATTATATAACTCCATTTACCTTTTCTTCAACAGTGCTCTTCAATGTTTTAGCCGTCTCAACCACATTCTTAGTAGCCTCTTTTCCAAATGAGTACAGGTAACCTATGAAACAGATAATCAAACAAATGGTAAAGTAAAAGCTGATCTGGTACAAAATAACTATTAATGTTCTAATAATAGTAGCAGTGATCTCCCCAGCATGAAAGCAATTTTGACAATGAAACAGCATGGTATATCTATGGCATTTGAAGGTCAACTATAACTATGAAATACTGTGAAATACCATCAACCATGAAATGCAATGATAAATCATGATTAACGATGGTCATGATTCTGGCAATGAAAAACTAATGTTATGACCATAGTATTTGATGGTCAAGTTGAAGATACCATGAAATGCTGCAAAAAATACCATAGTGTACAATGGTGTGTGACAGTAATGATTTTGTCATTTGGCAATGATTGTGGTATTTGATGATCAAGTTTGACCATGAAATGCCAATCCCATCAACAATCAAATACCCTCATATACCATGGTAAATGACAATAATAATTTTGGCAATAAAGTTACATGGTATTACCATGGTATTTGACAGCAAACTTTGATGTAATACCTTCAACAATGGTAATCCAATGGCCAAAATCTGACAACAAATGATCATTACCACAATGGTCAGAGTTGATTGTAATTTCATTGCTGATCATGATCAACCATGGTATATCATGGTTTATATTTAAACATGGTTATCCCTCAAGCCCATAATCCAATGACAACAATAACATGTAAGGCAATATTAAATCACATCAGTCATATTTTCCAACTGTCATGTGATACAGCTCCCTGCAATCAATCTTGGCCACATATCATTGATCATTTGGCAAAATGACTTTAATTAAGACTTCAATTGTTATAGTGTTGACAATATCCCAATACTAATTATAATTGGGAATTGTTGCAATTGTCTCATTTTCTGATTGAGTCACATTGTTTTTAAAGAGTCAAATATTCGATAGAAAATATGTATAATTTTAGACTTGATTGCCAACTATATACAATGGTTATATAGTGATCATGGATCATGTCCTCTTTCTCGTAAATATATGCAGTCAACATGACATAACAAACAAGCAAACATGTTAATATATTGTACTTATCTAGTGATTGGCTTTTGAAGCAAAAAATATGCCTTCTTACTAAGACTGATATATTACTTTAAATTTGGCTTACTGTCTCATTGCTATTTCTGAATATATTTGATATCATCCTGGATAAAAGCTGGTGGAATATACATGTAGTTCTATGAGCATTTTTACTATTCATTTCAGTCCTGATACCTTTATAACTTTATACCTCATGTGTATTAATCATATGACAAATATTATTGGTACATTCAGCACAATCAGAATCTGCCTCAGCTGTTATTGATTTCAATTAAATACCATTTGATCCATTGTGAAATGAGTAATTTCTGATACGCAATACTTTCACATATCATAAATGTATATTTGCACTCTGCCACAATTTGACATTTTGGGATTATTCAATACCTTGTTCACTTGATACTAATTTTCTATCCAGGGGCTTTCTTTCAATTTTTTACACAGTATACAGGTATATTAGCAATCAAAACGACTCTGAATTTGTTTCAAATCTCATATCTAATAACATCAACAAATTCTGAATCCTTTATATAGAGCTAATAATATGTTTGCAGTTCTAGGTGAAAGGCCAGGGGGCCAAGGCGAAAGCCAATACATTGTTGGAGCTTTCATAAGACTTATTCTGTCTAAGAAAACATGGCAGAAATGGAAGTTCTTATTTCTGTAAATGTCGAAGTCACTGAATTTCCAGAATCGAAATGTCAATACCATCCTATGAACAAATGTAAATCATGATAGGGTCCATTAATTTAGAGTTTTAGTCTAGGGCGAAGGGGTGCAAACGTAAACGTCGACATCATTTTCGGGTAACTTCGACATGTGGGGTAACTTCAACACCTTGTTGTTTATTTGTTCTTATTTCTGATCTAGGGGGAGGCCATGTTTTTTTTCTTGCATGGATCGAGATCTCGCGAGATTTTAATTTTACAAGAAATCAAGCATGGCAGAATACGGAAATTCTACTTCTAATAAGTAAGTGTCGAAGTTTACCCGTCTGTTATGTCGACTTTACCCCACACGTCAACGTTACACCCCTTTGCCCAAGTGTCTAGAGATCTATGAAATATTATCTTACTTCCCCATTCTTTGGCTGTGTTCACAGCTGCAGCAGATACCTCATCTATGTCATGTTTTATCTTGGCTTTTTGGTCAATTTCATCATCTGGAATGTCTGTTTTTTGATCAGAAGTATCCCCTTCCTCTTTTCCAGGTGTAGAACTTGGCTCAGATTCAGGAGTTTCCTCTGTGTTGTCGATTTTTTGCTGCGTAGATTTTTCATCATTTTTTGAAGTGTCTTTTTCTTGTTTTTCCTGTTCCTTTTCATCACTAACAGTACCTCCGAGCCACGATGTAACGCTGTTAAACATGCTGCACGGTTGCTTTTCACACTGCTACTCCGCTATATACAGATATTCAGCAAAGTAGATGATGTTTTGAAAAAATTACAGAAGTAGGTCAATTAAAAAATGTCGTCACTTCCGGGTGGAAGACCTAAACTGTTTTCCACTTCGTGCCATGCGATAAGTGAAAAGCTATAGATTTTCTCCATTGTTGATAAATGTGTATTTATTATATCAAATTAATTATGATTTTCTAACATCTAACTGAAAATTAATTCTAAACAAATCGATTCCATTTTTAGATTGTTTGGTTTTGAGACTAAATTTCAGCATGGCGACTTTTTATGGAGAAATTGTTCAGCCTTACTCAAGAGCTGTTGACGACGACGATGATGAAGATGATGTCATTCCAGATACTAGGTATGATTCTGTATATGTAGAAGAATATTCTGATACGCATGTCATGGGATTCTACCCGTACAGTAGTGTTGAAGCTCGAAGATAAACTTACTTTCTCTTCAAAATTTGACTGCACCTGCAAGTGCAAGTCATGATTCAATGAGGATACAATTGTTTCGAATCCCGATGGTCTGAATCCCAGTCGCTCGAATCCCGATGGTCTGAATCCCAATCGTTCGAATCCCAATGGTTTGAATCCCAATCGTTTGAATCCCAATGGTATGAATCCCAATCGTTCTAATCCCAATCGTCCGAATCCCTACAGTTGGGGACATAAATAAATGACAGGTGGATTTGCTGAAGTGAGGATTTCCCATGTTAAAAATAAGAGAATTTACAAGAGGCCATACATCAGTGGATGAGATTATACAAAATGTAAAATATACAAATTTTAAGGGATATATATCTAGACAATATTGGAAATTATGGGCTTTCAGACCACCATAATTAGGAAATGGTGATCGAAAATCGACCTGTCATTTATTTTTGTCCCCAACTGTAATCGTCCGATTCATGCAATTGCAATCATCCAAATCCCAATCCTCCAAATCCCTAATCCCCTGATTCATGCGATTGCATTCATTCCAATCCCAATCGTCCAAATCCTAATGATCCAAATCTCAATTTTCAGAATCCAACCTGTCTGAATCCAAATGGTCTAAAACCCTAATTGTCCGAATCCCAATGGTCATAAACACAGATGTTTGCTAGATTGTTTTGTAGTAGGATCTCATACATGTAGGCTCAAAGAATAGTTTAGTAGATGCATCACTAAATTGGAAAATTTCCAAAAAAGTAACCACCTTTCAAAATGTTCCTCATACAAAATGGTACTGTGACAGATTTTGCACTCATTTTGTCGCTGAGATCTTCATCTTTCTATTTCTACTTGTTTGGTTCGAGTAAATAACCTATGGACGCAGAAATTTTACTTTTAATACGGCAAATATTTTTCACTTGATCCGGGCTCTGTGTGTCCAAATGTCATTGAAATGCTGACTTTACATTTCTGGAATCACGGGAGCACCATTCAGATTTGGACAGACAGGAGCCCGAAGATTAGATATCACTGTTAAGGCCTCTTATCAACGCAGGATTGCTTGAATACCAATCATTAGTGATCAGAAAGGTAAAGAATAACAAGATGCTTCGATTGAGGTATGATTTGTCTCAAAAAATCTATGCCATATTTATGGAACCAGAAACCCATGCCATATTTATGTAACCAAAAAGCCATGCCATATTTATGTAACCAAAAACCCATGCCATATTTATGTAACCAAAAAAAACATGCCATATTTATGTTTCAGTTGCTCTGTATTGAGATGGTCTCCAACTGCAAAGTTGGAAATGGAGGAGTCTCCAACACAGTGCCTTCAATGTGAAGTTCTCATTATTGCCATTGGCCAGGAGGCCACAGGTTAGTGATATAATATAATCAGACCCATATCCAGAAGGGGGGTCAAGCACTTTTCAAGTGATTTGGGCATTTTGGGGTCAAAGTTGTCATTTTTAGAGGTCAAAGCTTTTATGTTCAAAATATAGTCATGTTGGTCAAATTGGTATTTTATTTAAAATACTGTAGACAAAAAATGTTTAATATAGGTACAGTTTGTAATCATGTTTTAGATAAACATCATGATTTAGCATGAGTGTAATTAGTCTTGTTCATCATATATCTTGTTCTCTCTCTTGGCACGAGTATGTATAAAAGGGCTTGATGCAATACTTCCTTGGTGTTTTTTTAGGTTTTTCTCAGGCCTATCTTCTGGAGAATGACGCTGAGATTATCTGTGTGATATGTAGCGGAATGGATGAACAGGATGTGAACACATTCTCCCAGACGGCACCAACAGATAAAACATGTTATATATATCGACTCAAATCTCGTCCTAACATCATGATGTGCATGTGCAACTCTAAGGTGACCTCGGAGGCCTCTTATTCCTGGACTGAAAAGGTACAAATAATTTTCTTGGACTTGATTTTTCAGAGGTAAAAATAATTGGTCCTAAGATAATGATAAGATAAAGTGCTAGACTACAATGAGTGTTTAGCATGAAGGCCATCATCGAGACCAAAGTTCCCCTGGTATAAAATTTCTAAAAAAAATTTACAGCATCTGTAACAAATGGCAGGTGGTGACATCTTTCATGTTAATGCCTTGTTTTTATTTAGATGGCAACTGTAAAACATGAGTTCATTGCTTTTGTAATACATTCTAAACCCCTATGTTTAAAAAAATTTGAGAAATGCATTTTAGTCAGTTACACAAACATTTTCTTTGCAATAAATTCTGAACAAATTCTATCAATAAAACACACATTTTAATTCATATTCAATCTTGTCTTTTATGCAGGTTTTTTCTAAGCTTGAAAAACCACCAGACCAACAAATGTATGTGGCAGTGTTATCATCCACGTTAGCATCTGAATTCAAAAGTGAAACCCCCATAGGTGATTTGAAATTACCATTCTTGAGGTCGCTTTCTACAAATGAATTCCCAGGGACACCAATATGCCCATATTTGGAGGTGCCCAATGTAGTACCAGGACTTCCTGCCTCAAGTGAGTATTTGTCAAAATTTTCAATAACCATCTCACTGTTTCTCTCTGTGCTTGATGCTTTGGTAGATTTCAAATAGATTAAGGATTTAAGCCCCGGCTCAATGGATTATGGATGATTTTAACCACAAATGTCTTGTATCAAGATTTTGAATGAAGGTGGTAGCTGAAATTCAAACACTAACTTAAAGACACAAGATGCATATTCATTAAATCACTCACAATGGCCATCCACATCAACTCTGCTGTAAAATATAGAATGAGTATTATTTGAAATACTGTGTCCTGATTGTCTGGAATTGGATATACTAGCACAGGGGTTTCACTAGAATTTCTCACAACAGGCTAAATAAATGAAAACAACAGGCAAAATTAATGGAAATCATAAATTTTACATGGAAAAGTCCCTAAAAACAACATATGATTTTGTAAAAATAACTGGTGAAATTTGCCTGTTGCCTGCTGCTAATGAAACCCCTGCTAGTATCATGCATTGCTGATAGCTAGGTGTGAATTTATATTAGAGGAAATATCAGTCTAAAAACATAAAATAGATATTTCTTAGCTAAAAATTATATTTCTATCTTGTTGCAATGCTAACATTGTGTTCTTTCATTTGTTTTGTTTTGCAAAAGTAATGTTTATAAAGCTTGCCTAAAAAGATATCACATGTAAACATAATATCATCACAATAGAGGTAACCCTTACAAAATAAACATACTCCAAGAGCATAACCAAGATCAAAGATTAGGTGAGGCAAATGTAAATAAAGGTGAGGCGCATTTATGTTAAAAGAGGTAAATTGTTACCTTTGGACTTCATTTCACAGTTTTAGTTGCATGAAAAAATGTCTGAATAATAACTGAAATTCTGTAAATTTTAGTGAGGCAGGGGCCTCACCTGTCTCATACTTGGCTTTGCACATGTAATGCAGTGTTCTCAAAAGATTTTTTTTCAAAATTTTAATTTTCACATTTCAGACCGAAATTGGTAAAAATGTGCCAATTTAACATGGTTTTTGTCATTTTCAAGTGGGTACAAATGGATTTTCAGGTGTGTGCGCACCTGTTTTCAAAATCTCAGGTGGTTGCTACGCCCACTTGCTTTAATGCTGGAGAGATCATTGCACTGTGTGGTCATCACTCAGTTAACAAAACACTATTGAACTCTCTGGCTGCATTTTTGAATGCCTGTGGCGCAAGTTTGCTTAATTTTTACACATGTTATCTCCCGGTATCACGAAAAAGACCAATAGGCCCTGCGAAGTGAATAACATGGTCACACATTTTCAACAAAAATAGCTCATCCAATCACTGTTGGGCTTATTTTTTTCATGATAGCCAGGGCGAAATCTTATTAGATATTACACAACCCATGGGGTTAAAAAACACAACGGGATGACCATTTCAATAGCGAGTATTTGAATTCTAACAATATTATTTACACTGTAGAGTTACATCTTCGAAAGAAAGTTTCTTGATGGCATACTTATAAGCAGAGCTAAATTCTCATCAGTCCTTTGTTTGGTCAACCCCATCTTGGTCACCACAAAATCTTTTATGGCTTGTTTATCAAGAGTCTCCGGTAATAGTATTGAGTAGGAAATATCTCTTTTCTGATCTAATTGTGATATCAAAACTGCATGTTTCACAATATGATGTATAGCATCTTGTTCACTGTTACCATAGTAATCAGCGCGATATCTCAGTGCAGCGGGGCTATTTATAATTGTCCCAAAACTTATTGATTCAACTTGCCCACTTTTATCCTTTGTTGCTAACATTGTGGAATCCTGTAGGAAGAGTGGGTAGTTTGATGCATACTGGATCATATATGGCTCCCAATTCGCTATGAGAAACCCTGTAGGGAATAAGCTGGACCAATCACAGTTCTTTAAGGCCACCACGCCCTCTTCAATACTGACCACATGTATTTTCTTCAATGCGTCAATTAGGTCTTCCTGTTTCTTGGACTGGTTCTTTAGGATTTGGTTCAGGTCTGTTGGGTTTGTATCAAATGAGACTCGTGGCTGGAGATATAAAAAGGAAATAATATGTACAGTAAATGAATATTTCTTGAATGTACTGTGTATTAGTATACCGTATTATCTCTATTAAACGCACAGTGCGCTTAGCAAATTCCCGTGGGGGAGAGGTTTCAAGCAGCTAAATCCCCGGGAATTCTAAAAAATTATGATGGTGGGCGATAATGGGTGAAAATTTACTTCTATACCTTAAATCGATCAAATATAGTAGATATATGCGTTCATTAGAGAGAATATGCTATATGTTATGTTTTTACCTTGAATTGTGAGCTCCTAGACGACAAATTTAGTATATAAACTACACTATTGTGTGTTATTTACACGAACACCTGAAGAAATTTCTTACGTTGCATGATGGGAAATCGTGACGTCATGAATCATGATGCATTATTTTACCGAACGGTCTTGCGGTGGTAACTCTATCACAACACAACATGTTATTACTAATAATGTTATTTATTTAAAATCAGACATATTAAATACATAAAATTACAATAAATAGTTAATGAAATTGACAAGACTAATGTTTAAAACGTGCTGCTGATATAAATAAATTGGAATCGCTTCTGAAATCGACACAATAAACCGGTAGGTGAAAATACTCTATTATCGCCCACAATGTTTTTTTTTATGAGAGCTTCGTCAGATCTCAATATTATCTGGACAGGACTTTCTAACCTGGGACAAAAAGTCGGGTGTGCATTTATTAGAGAGTGTGTGTTGAATAGAGATAATACGGTAATTTCAATATCAGAACAAACAATTAGGCCTGACTTAAGAAATATTAGGTCAATAATTAGACAATTGGGAGAGGCACAAAATGTGAGGATTTTCAAGCAGAAATGCAAGAAGAATTATAAAACTAAAAAGGTATTTCTGGAGTCAAATTCAAGTATGATGATTTGACTGAATATTATGTATTAAGCATATGACGTCAAATTCTTCCTTCAGTGGCTGTTAAAGATCATCAGTATTTCACCCTTGGTATACACAGCTAACGAAAATTGACCGGTACGGGTCAAAAGCTGGACCGGCACGGGTTTACGGTTTTATTTGAATTTAAAACAGCCATAACTTACTCAATATTGACTTCCTCGTGTCTAATTTGAGATATATGATGCCTCCCGATGCTCTTAAGTACCCCAATTTTTTACAGATTTTTAAACGGACCAAAACTCTCTAAATGCGCATTTATATAAGAACGACTGTCTCATTTTCATTTTTTTATAAAATCAAACGCGCGTCATTGAAACTCACAAGATGTAAATAGCATGTCATTTACATCATACCTTGATGGGGAAAAATAGATCTTATATGTTAGAAGTACTAAATAAAAGATATCGTGAAAATGAGACAGTCGTTCTCGAGAGAAAAGAGCATAAATGCGCATTTAGAGAGTTTTGGTCCGTTTAAAAATCTGTAAAAAATTGGGGTACTTAAAAGCATCGGGAGGCATCATATATTTCAAATTAGACACGAGGAAGTCAATATTGAGCGAGTTATGGCTGTTTTAAATTCAAATAAAACTAACCCGTACCGGTCCAGCTTTTGACCCGTGCCGGTCAATTTTCGTTAGCTGCGTATACCAAGGGTGGTATTTATTATCATGAAAAGAATGTCAAGTAAATGTACAAACCCTCTTCATAACAAGTTTATATTCTGGTCGTCTTGGTAGAATCTTTGAGATAACTGGCCAGTTTGCACTGGTGTAGTGGTCCCTTTGTAACTTGGGGTATCTCTCTTTTAGTATACTTTGAAGGTAGTGGCCTAAAAATTGGCAGGTCTTTGATAAATAAAAATTGTGATTTTGTATAAAATAAAATGAAATAATAAGTTGCAATAATTAATTTATTTGGATGAAAACACATGAGTAATCTAGATTCAGAAGGAAATTTTCACTCATCTGAAGAAATGTGCTCAATCATATATTTTGTTCAATAAAAAGGATTAAAATTAATTATTCCTAGGTTACAAATTATTCCTCCTGTTTTTAACAGGAGGGGAGCATCCATTAAATGGTATTAAAATAGAGAAAGGAGGTCACAAGAGGAAAGTGTTCAGGTTTTTACTCTACATACCTAGCTTATTTGACAGACCCAGTCCTTGGAAATCTTTGTGTACTCTACCAGCCTGCCATGTTATGGAGGTGTCCCCATCTATAACATATGCCATCTCAAATGCCACCTTTAAATAACATGGACTAATAAGTGGAGGAGTGGCTGTTAACTAAAATATCATTGTATTATTTAGGAGGATCTCTCAATTTAAAAAAAAGTAAAATCTTAATCTTTTGATTAATTAGCATAATTAATTAAGAGATCTACAAGATGTAGAAATGATTCATAATGGTTATTGAAAAACAATCTTTTTGTTGTTCCTTGCATAAGAGATGTCAGCAAAATGCCTTTGTGGAGGTTTTAACTTACTATGCATCCATCTATGATAGCCACCCCTAGATATCTCCTGGGGTCACTCAGGTACTCATGGTATTTTGAAGAAAGGTAGTCAAAACCATTATAAACATTTCTGTTAATGTCCAAGACAGCTTGATAGTCGCCTTGTGTAGCAATTCTACAAAGGACACCACCTACAGTGGCTGGTGCGGCTCTCTTTTCCTTCATAACTAGCTCCTAAAATGTATATTCTGCCCTTTAATTCTTAGAATGACATGAAAAATATTTATCAGTTAGCACACTGTAAACAAGCATACAATGTTAAGTGTTTGTACTTTGGCCTATACTAGTAGTTATTGTATACAGTTCAGCTTAATACAGTGTGACACTAAAATGCTATTTTTGAATTTGTATAAAATATAATTCCTGGAGTAAATGGAAATATTGGTAGAAATGACTGGGAATAAATAATTAGACTAGTATTCTATGACGTTTAACTAATTAAAAGTTTGGAGAAAATAACTTCGTCAACAGCAAAGGGGTTAAAATGAAACGAAGCATCAGAACACAAGGGGTTAACTTATAACAAATAACCACACTTTTCATGATGCTTAAAAACTTAATAAAAGACAAATATATACCC